TCTTCTCCTACATATAGCTACTTCACGTATCAGTGTAACGAACTGTATTATTGAGTACGAGAGTAAAAGACTTCTATTACTTTGTGAGCAAAATATACATATGTCGATTAATACTCTCAGCGCTTCTTTTTCAGAAAAGATTATTTGAGTGTACATATTAGCTTTCTTATAATGTAAAATAATACGTATAATTAAATCTAATAAAATATAAAGTAACATAATAAAATATATTATAACATAATACAATTTAATGTATTATGATTAAATATAATATAATATAATATAATATAATATAATATAATATAATATAATATAATATAATATAATATAATATATATTATAATATAATATAGAATATAATATAATATAAATATAATATAATATATAATATAATATATAATATAATATATAATATAATATAATATAATAAAATCTATAATATAATATAAAATAATATATATTATATAATATGTAATATTATATTATAACATATAAAATAAGTAGTATAATATAAAAAGTGTTATAATATAATAATAATACGATATCATACATAAAATAATATTTATAAAGTAATATAATATATAAAATAATATAATATGTAATAAAATATATATCATAATATAATGTAATATATAAAATAATGAAATGTAATGTGTAATATATAATATAATATAATATATTATGTAATATATAATATATACTAATTATATTATAATATAATAATAATATAATAATATATAATATAATATAAATATAATATAATATATATAATATAATGTAGTATGTATAATAATATAATTAATATATAAAATAATATTAAAAAATATATATAATATATATATATAATATATATAAAACTAATATAATATAAATAATAAATTAATATAATATAATATAATATAATATAATATAATATAATATAATATAATATAATATAATATAATATAATATAATATTAGTGTAATACATATAATCAAATTAAGCTAGTTTGATTTTAAAAAAAGTTTCTTACCCTAAAAATTATTTTGTTTTTTAATTACATATTAATTAGGCATTGTATTTTTTCATGAAAACTTAATCGTTAAGCCCTAGTTATTCGCAACGACATTTATATTGGTGTACAGGATCCCTCCTTCACTTCGAGCTGCTTTCCAGATAGCAGTCAACTTTGAACGTTTGTTAGAAAATATGTCTGAATACTATTTCAGCCATGTGCTATTTTTGTATTCAATATGTTGACAATGAATATATATGGTAGTTATTATATTATTTTTAATTTCGAGACTGAGTTAATGATTCATACATATTTTTAAGAGTCAGAAATGGAACAGATACATTAGAATGATAAGATTATATCATACAATGATTATACAATGATTATAATTATTAATATGTTGTATATGACACGAATATTGAACCAGTTATCATGAGAACAATAAATATGATTATAATATTGAAAGTAATAATTATAATTAACAGCAACGTCAAAATTTTTGCAAAAATGTGCAATAATTTATTTCAATGTCAGATATATTCTAGTTTGTCAAAGTCACTTATATATATGTATATTCATAAAGCATACATTAGACTTTGTTTGCAGCTTTATAAACTATATATATTGTTTAAAAAGATTATCGAAACACAGCTAACAGATTTAAAATTGTTTACGTTTATATCACAATTAATCGTTTACACAATCATTTCAATTATAATAAATAAAATATGTAATAATATATGTTGATACATGTTTTGTGTATTAAGTAACTCACCTCCCTGATCATCGAGAGCTACTAGAGTTCGTATTCCTGCCTCCTTGCTCTGGTGTGCAGCAAAATGAATAGTAAGATATTTGTAAAAGTGTATCATTATACGTGTTATATACAAAATATATAAAAAGAAATTTGATAAAAGTCAAAAATGTTCCTAAAAGCAAAATGTTATTTAGAATGTTGATACTTATATTGTTGATGTATGTTATAATAATGTTTATGTAAGCAGCGATTCAAAACAAAAGAATTGCACATTTTTATTTAATTTTATTTTTATATTCTTTTTTTACAGACAATAAACAAATCTTAAACTAATATAATAAATAACATTAAACAAATTTTATTAAGAATATATTGATATTGCCAAGCGATTCTTACAGTGAAGTGGCGAAGATAAAATTATTAGTAATGTAGATTCCATTAATAGATTTTCGTTGCTTGAGAAGTGGGCATGATTCGACAAGTAGCATATAATCACCCCATTATTATTATTATTTATTTTATTCTATACTGCATTAGGAGGTTAAGAATACAACAAATGATTTCCAACTATCTCTATTTTGCGAAATTTGTCGAAGTTCGTATTAATTGTTCTCCACCATGTTATCGTTGGACTGCCTCTACACCTGGGAATTTCATATTAGCGCTGCGTGCAATCACCCCATTAAATTTACTAAAACAAGTAGCCATTGTTAGGTAAAATAAGACTAGTTGTTTAGTTGCATTGATTCCATATTTTGGGTTACCTTTGTTACTTTCCATTAAATGTTTATATCCATTTGCAATATATCGATATTTATATTTTTTTAATATGTTACTCTTCTAATACTCAGATTTCGCTTTTAATTTTACTAATATACATGAATCAGTTTTCAAATCCTTGGCCACTCACGATTCTGAAGATATTTATTATCGTTATTGTTGCTATACATATCGGATTTCTTGTCATCTTCAGCTCTCTTATCTATTTATTATGTTATTTAACATGTATTATCTAAATATATTCATTATCGTTATTGTTCCTATCTACATTATCAGATTTCTTGTCATCTTCAGCTCCCTTGCCTATTTATTCTGCTATTTGTCATGTATTATCTAAATATATTTATTATCGTTATTGTTACTATCCTATTTTTTTCTTTTAGTTTTTTTTTTTTTAATATTAATTTGTAAATTGCGCGCGTTTTTTTGGATTTTTATGTATTTTCTTTTTGTGAAACGAGTTTCACAAAAGCTAACACAACACGTCATAACACCATACTATACATTGCACAACACAATTCAGTCATCACAACTACCATAATCCGATACATTGTAATTTTATTTTATTTATTTAATTTATTAGACACTTTTATAATTATTTATTTATTTATTACAATATAAAATATAATATATATATTTACTCTTTTTATTTTTTTCTTTATTTTTTTATATCAATTTAATTTAATTTTTATTTATATTTGTATTAAATTTAACTTTATTTCATGTTATTTTAATAGTTATTTTAATATTTTAAAAATAAGTAAATCTTATAGCAAACCTGCAGTGCAGAATCTTCCTTAATGGGCAACCGTCAACCCCCTTTGCCACTACTTCAGGTGTTCGACAAGGCTGTTTAATGTCGCCTATTTTGTTTTTAATTGTGTTAGACGATGTCCTTACTAAAGCTATTGACCAGTCACAACGAGTTATACGATGGGGGCTTTCAAACCACCTCGAGGATCTAGAATATGCTGACGACATTTGCCTTCTCTCAACTCGGCAGAATGATATGCAAGATAAAATCAACGACTTAGTTCACGAATCACGTAAAGTTGGTCTTATAGTGAACACGGCAAAGACAAAGGCAATGAAGATAAATAATTCAGACCCTACCAGTAAATTTAACCTGGACGATACAGAAATCGATAACGTCAACAGCTTCACATACTTAGGCAGTATAATATCGCCGAACGGTGGCGCGGCAATCGACATCCAAAGCCGAAACCTGGCTTACCACCAACAACCTGATTCATAAACTGCAAACTTTTATAAACAAATGCCTTAGGAGAATTCTGAAAATTTGGTGGCCCCGCACTATTAGAAATTCCGAACTATGGTCAAGATGCCGCCAACTTCCTATAGCAAACGAAATCAAAAAGCGTAAATGGCAATGGATCGGGCATACTTTGAGGAAGGCACCAAATGAAATCTGCAAACAAGCATTAACATGGAATCCTCAAGGAAGCAGAAGACCTGGTAGGCCCAAGCAAACGTGGAAGCGAACACTGGAGAAAGAAATCCAAGCAAGTGGAAAAACCTTTGGAGAAATTAAAACCCTGGCAAAAAATCGTGACAGTTGGAAAAAGTTCGTTATGGCGCAATGTTCCCCTGGGAACGTACTGGATTGATTGATTGATAGCAAACCTGCTATTTGCATACATAACCACGTATGCAAATGAGTAATCCAAATCCTCCCCCAGAGAGAAGACATACGAAAAGCATCCCAAACAAACGTAATGCTTATATAGTAATAGACGCATCAAACAAGTTGCCACAGAAAACTACACAAACTGATAAAAGCTTAGAAAACATTGTATTTTCAGCAGCATTGCTTGCATTTCCCCACTTAGCGAGTCCAAAAAAAAAAAACTAAAATCCAAACAGGCATGGAACGCTATGTCAATATTTAACGAAAACTTAAGAGGTGCTAAAATAAACAAAATTAACAAAGATAGCGCACCCACAAATATACTTTCTGGCAATAGATTTGCTGAACTAGCTAAATCTACAGAGGAATTTACCAATTTAGCTGCGTGAACGCAGTTTAAATATACTTGTTACACTCCTAGCACGTCTGATTGGTAGTAGTACTTTTTATATTGTGCCTTTAACCAGGGGCAATATACACGAAGCTGAGATACAAATTGACACCGAAAATAATTTCAGGGTCATTCCCAAACATTTCAACGACAGCAAAAAAAATTACTACACATACCAACTGAAGAGTAGCAAAGGCTTTGTTGTCGTTATCAAAGGCATTGATACAGATATAGAACCCATTGAAATCACAAATCCCCTAAGCGAAAAAGGCTTTAGCACTTGAGCAGTTATAAATATAGTTAATAAAAATAAAATCCCACAACCCAAGTTTAAAGTTGAACTTTTCCTAAAAGCTTCTAAACTTAAAAAAAATTAAAGCCATCCTATCTACAACCTGCCATGCTTATTTCACCGCAGAATTAGAGTTGAGGAGGCCTACAATCGAAATTGTCCAGTGCAATGCACAAACTGCCAAGAGTATGGTCACACTAAGTCATATTGCACTCTTCGCACAGTGTACGTAGCATGTGGCGAGCTTTAACTTAGTTCCGAATGCGATAAAAAGGCATTTAACTCCAAAAAATGTAACAACTACAGAGGCTTTCCTATTTATAAAGAACTGAAGAACAGGTCAGCTCTGCAGAAAGAAACGTTGCGTAAGATTATTATGATTCATAAATCAGGCAAAGATCCCACGCTTGCGTCTTCATAAAGGCCAATCCCCCGATTGACGGCGAATGCCATAATCGTATAAGGATAAATTAGATACTATGTAAATGAAGTTAGGTTTTTTTTATTATTTTTCTTATAATTATTTATAATATTTATGTTTTATATATTATAAATTATTGAAAATGTTAATTTTGTAAATGTAAATATAACCTATATTTAATAAAAAGAATACTACTACTACTACTACTACAGGCCAATAAGCTTACTGCCATGTCTTTCTAAACTCTTTGACAGAGCACTGTTTTTAAAGCTGAAACCATTCATTGACGGTCAAAACCTAAAACCCTCCCGCCAGTTTGGTTTAAGGAAAAAACATGGAACTATTGAGCAAGTGGATCGTATAATGAACGAAATAAGACACGCATTTGAGCTCAGATAATTTTGAATATTAACTTCAAATGTCCACTCAGTTTAAGAATTGTATCTCCATAACAGAAGTTTTAAAGTCAAATGTACAGCATATACTTCTAATAATTTCCCAATAGAGGCTGGTGTTCCACAAGAAAATGTTCTTGGCCCTATCTTATATATACTTTACACATCTGATATTCCAATAAGTAGCTCAGTCGTCACCACAACGTTTGCTGATGACGCGGCAATTTTATGTCGAAACAAAAACGTTGTGCTAGCTTCAAACCAACTTAAATTTCACTTATTTCGAGTGGAGAAATTGTAGTCAAAATGGCGAATTAAAATGAATGAACTAAAATCGGAGTACATCTCCAACAATTTTACTAAATAACACTCCCATACCACAAGCAGATAATATAACGTATTTAGGTACTCACCTAGACAGACGACTAACTTGCTGCAAACATATTGAAGCAAAAAAAAAATTCAGATGAAGCTCCAAGCCTCTAAGTTGCATTGGCTCATTAATAGCAGATCTTCCCTAAGCCTAGAGTATAAAGTACTCTTGTATAACAGCATCATAAAACCAATATGGAAATTATTCAAAGAGCTTAGTCAAAAATACTGAGAACAATCACTGCAGTTCCATGGTGTATAAGGAATGAAAGTATCCACCAAGATCTACAAATTCCTGAATTTGACAATATAGAAAAAAAATACAATAAAAGTGTCAGCCTTTTATTGTATTTTTTTCTTATATTGTCAAATTCAGGAATTTGTAGATCTCGATGGATACTCGATGGAACATGTTAATCTCTTCGTAAGAAATCTTGCACATCTATCCACTACTTCCCGCCTAAAGAGAGCTGACCGTCCAGCCATTAATTAATATTCATTAGGTTGAAGTAAAAACCGCACCTTTCTTTTAAGTAATCTGATAAAGTTGAACTGCTTTCTTAATAAGCCACCTAACATTCACTTCAATGAAATTTAACCCATTCATAATCGTCGCATTAATATAGTCGCGGTGATGTTATTGCTTTTTCTATAAATGATTCCAAATCTCACGACTTTAAACTAGATTAATCTATATTTTGATCCTTAAAGTTGTGGCATCATATTTCCCTTCTCCTACCTTCTTCTTTCGAAATTTCGTTCATAATTTTTTTTATTTATTTATGGGACGTGTCTATATCAACGTTATTCTTCATAAAACGGTACGCGGAACCATCTTCCGATAATTTTAATCATTGTTTAGTATATTTATACTTTTTTTATCGTTTTGTATTTTCTCATGAATCACCAATATCGTATGTTTTAAATAATATCTATTTGAAATCTTGTACATCTCGAAGAGTGACAAATTATCTAGGACAGGTTTTATCACGTAAAGTTGTACTTAGTTGTTTTTTTAAAACATGTTTATTTTAAGTTGGTTAGATTGTTTTTTCCGCACGAAATAAAAACTGTTTTTTTTTGTCGGAACAAGAAGTCCAAGTTGGTACTGCTATTCCTATTGTTTTCTTTTCCGAAGCTCTTCAGTCATATTACCCAACCTGTGTCGATATACGTCATCTAGTTTTTAAATTACGTAAAACTTAATAATTAAGTTAATTGATTTTAATGTTCCGGATAAACACTCAAATTTTTAATATTTATATTTCAATGTTATCTTTTTTTCACTGGCGGACCTGATATATGCAGGACCTGTAACATATAAAATAAGTCACAAACACAGTTGAGCGTAATTGGGCTCATTATCCCTTTATATTACAATTCTTCTATTGAATATAAACACATTTAGTAAAATTTATAATAACATTATAAGTAATATCGTATAAAGAAGATATAAAACGGTAGAGCGCGATGGTGCCGAAATTCAACAATAATTTTGTACATTTGATTTTGTTATATTATAACATGTTATATTATATTATATTATATTATATTATATTATATTATATTATATTATATTATATTATATTATATTATATTATATACATGTAATCATATTATATCACTAGATTTTTATTATATTATACTATATTTTTTATTATATTATATTTCTATATTTCTTATTATTTTATATTTCTTTATTTTTTATTTTATTATATTTTAATATTTTTTTTTATTATATTATATTATTTATTATATTATATTATGTCATAGTACTATAGTGTTTATTATATTATATTACTATACATGTTATCATATTATATCACTAGATTTTTATTATATTATACTATATTTTTTATTATATTATATTTCTATATTTCTTATTATTTTATATTTCTTTATTTTTTATTTTATTATATTTTAATATTTTTTTTTATTATATTATATTATTTATTATATTATATTATGTCATAGTACTATAGTGTTTATTATATTATATTACTATACATGTTATCATATTATATCACTAGATTTTTATTATATTATACTATATTTTTTATTATATTATATTATATTATATTATATTATATTATATTATATTATATTATATTATATTATATTATATTGTATTATATATTGTATATATATTATATAATATATTGTAATATATATATATATATATTTATATATATATATATATTATATTACGTTATTTTACAATAATTATTACAGAGTTGAAGAGATGTTCATATTACATATAATATTTTCAATGGCGCAATTAAATTTTATTGGTTATTTATTGAAATGTAACACTTTATTTGCTTTAAATTATGTATATTTGCATAATTTTGGCTAACGCAGTTTGAAATTTAAAAAGAAAGAATTTATAATGTTTAATTTTAAATGAGTTCATTTGATACATATCTACAATTTCAACAAATGATAATACTTTTAGGATTTTTAAATTATAATTTATTTAGTCTATTTAATGTCAATACGAGCTATAAGAGCTATGCCATTAGAAATCGTCTTCAAAAAAGTTTTCGTTGCATTTGCATGGAGAGAATGTACTGAAAATGTGGCTATGTGTGTCCTAGTAGGGTAAAGGAGTCTTAAATGAACTGTTACGCATTCATGTAAAGTGATTCTTCAGAAAACTTTGTAAATACTTAAGTTTAAAGAAAGCTAAATCTAATACCTTTACTGTGATAGATTTGTCTGTAAGTAATTTGTTTGTAAGTTTATATGTCGTTACAATTTCTGTGTAAGTAAAAATTTGTCCAAAAGTTTACATGTCAAATTGTAGTTTTAATTAATAAATTTAAAAAATACTTAAAAAACTAATAAACCGATCGATTTCAAATATAAAATCGTGATGTACCTAAATTTGTATATGTTTTGAATTTGTAAGTATATAAGTAAATTTGTTGATATAATTTAGTGAGAGTAAAAATTAAGTGTTTGAAATGTAATTACCTCTTCACAAAGCGCAATCATGCGGCGGGTACTTTCCAGAGACTAAAAAAAAAATAATTATATTATGATATATTTTTTGTTCAATGTATAAAAGTTAATTTTTTAACTTTTTATTTATCTTTGTTTTTAATTTTTTTTTGTTTTTTGCAATAAAATAACATAGAATGATTATATATATTTGTTTTTCTTTTATAAAAATAGAAAATCACATGAGCGTTATTATTTACCTTATTGAAGAAAACAATATAATTAAATAAATTGAAATAATAAGAATAACGCAAGTAAAATAAAATAATAAAACGGGATTAATTAAATAAATATAAAAATAATAAAATATATATAAAAAATATTATAAAATAAAATAAATATAGTTTTTATGTATGATGTAATCGATGATTCGAATAAAAATTAATAAAATTTTCTAATAGAACTGTAAATGCGATAAAAATTCACTTATGTGGATATGAACTTGTTAAGGGAAACTATTAACAAGATTGGAACAATGTCGTATTATGAAGGTACGTGACCCGAAAAGGAAATATTTTTAGACGTCTTGGGTTAAAAATTAGTTTTCTCATTGGCAAATATTAAGAAAACATATTTCGAAAAGAAAATAGTTTTGAAAATTGACCACTTTCTAAATACGAATTTTTAAAAATAATTATAAATTATTAATATTATAAATAATTATTTTGAAAACAAGGTTTTTTTATTTTTATAAACTTTTCTCTGCTATATTATTCGTTCAAGTTATGGAAAATAATGGTTTTACTGCAAAATAATTCAAAAAAATTAAATATTAATTACAAAAAATCAATTATTAAAATATTAATATTAATAATATCGCAGACTCCAAAACACATATATATTCTTGATCAGCTCGAGATATTGAGCCCTCTCCATGTTTCCATATGTCTGTTTAAGTTCAAATCATTTCCTCCATTTTTAAACTATTCAAATGAAAATTTGCACATTTAATTTTCGGGAGTTACTTTTAATACTTGGTTATTATATCATATATATGTTATTACATAATATAGTACATATACATATTATCATATAAATGACACCTCTCTGTTAGGGGATCTAAGCTTCGTTAAAACCAAAATATCTTTTCCTGTTTATAAAGTGTTTTTGAAAATCAATTAACTAATTTTCTCATAAGTTCATTGTTAAAAAATTGTACTTATATTTTATTACAAAATAATATTTACAGGAAGATAATATAATATTGTTATTATCGAAATTTAAAAAAAAACATGTGGTTTGTAATAGAAAAATAATGTCAATGAATAAACAAAGTTTTAATAATAAATAATGCTGTTTTTTTGTAACTAGAATTTATAATTTACAAGTTTAAAACAGTTAGTAGTTACCTCATCAGCAACACCTTGAGCCTTTATTTGCAGTTCCTCAAGCTCCGTTTTCGGAATTTGAGGAACGGATGCTTCCTCTGCTGCATCTATCGACGGCATTCTACAATTAAATAAAAATCTTATATATAGTATATCAAACGTTATATATGTTAATTTATTATTATTATTATTTATTAGTATTTATGATATATGATATTTAGAATACATTAAAACATTTTATTATATTATGTCTTTTGATTTCTATCAAGAAGAAAATATAAGACGCGATTTTATTATTCATGATACTCTTCCTGACTGTTGAGAGTCTGTGTTTCAGTAATGATATACATTCCCCTAGATGCTTAAAAGTTACCTAATTCCTTTATTTGTTATACAGAATTGAACTATGTAGTATATAACTCAATTGGAGGAATATTTTATACGCGAAGTCAGTTTTAATTAGTTTTAAACAAGTCGCTAAACGTGATAGTTTCTGGAACTACGCCTTTGTAAATCAACGAAATATCGGCATTACAAATCTCATAAAACAAGATTATAACTCTTTGTAGATTGTTTGTTTTATTGCAAAAACATTATAACGAATATATGTATGCAAATAAAAACTTGTCATTGAGAGTAATTAAACTTTACACATGTTTGGTAATGAAAGTATATCATATGATTATCAAATATTTGAAAAGCAGTAGACCTGCTTCTATTTCAGGGAATGAAACTGTGCTCAGTTTTTTGTAAATCCAGCAGGAAAAATTTATATATTAATGAAACTAGCTCTTAACGTTGCATTCACACATAATATGTGTTTAAATGAAACTATAGATTTTAAATCAAAAATATTGAATTCACAATTATTACAATTATTATCAATTTGATGTTTTAATATAGAGTAATTTTAAATAATTACTTTATAGTAAAACTTTCCCTTTCGCTTTTCTTTATAGTATGGACTACATTGAACATTCGGCGAAGCCAAAACTAAATTTTTTTTACTTGCGCCCAAAAACAGCAAAACCTACCTAAAAACTTACTACAATATCAAATTTTTGCTTTAATTAAATCTCTAGTTCTATTTAAAATAATTATTTAAAACAGTTTGCGCTTCTTAAATGCACTAGTTAAGTATATTTAATATATGCATAATTTAGTTTTAGTTAATGTAAGCAAAACATAAATCGAATCATGTACTCTCTTTTTGTGTTAAAAATGTGTAACACAGCCCATTGTTATCAATTTTTCCCACTTTTTATAATTTTGCGCTTTATTTAACAAAATATTAAAAAATTAAAATGCATGCATTGTAATAGCAATCCAGCTCTAATATATCTGTACTGGCATCTCAAGAATAGGTTTAAATTGGTTTAAAACGTTTATAATGATTTTTTATGTTCAAGTACAATTATACACAATACAGATTTTTTGAGCATAACTTTAGGCATCTATATATTTTTTTGTAAAATTAATTATATAAATTTTCAAAAATTTAAAAACCACTTCATGTAGATAATATATTGTTACTCTGTCTTAATAATATAATATTTGATATTTTAAAAGAAATTTCATTTGATTAATAATCAATAAAATCACCTGGTTTTGTATTATTTACTTGTATTATTTTACTTCGACACAATAGTTACCGAAGGACTAACATGCATTACTAACTCACAATGTACACTGTGAGCTTTGAATGTGAAGAAAAATTCTTTTCGATGTTTTATGTTTTACCCTGCAATCCAGAGAATAAAACCAGAGAACACACGAACGGAAACTCTATTGTGAATTTTAAAATTTTATACAAAGAATAAAAAAATTTGTTTTGTAATTGCAATGTTGCAATAAATAATTTACATAGTAAAAATATATTGAAGATAAAATATATGTATTTTAAAAGCCTAAAAATACATATTTACTTAAAAACTTTGAGAAAGTATCTTAAAAAAAATGAATTATATTAAATATAGGATCCTACTAGTAGGTCTTTTCCATGAGCTACTTGTAGTAAAACTCAAGTAAAACACAAGTACAAACGGAGAGCGTAACACAAATAAAGTGTCAAATTACGCTCTTTACACAGATTTTAATGGAACAGCTTTGTGTAAAGTCTGGTGAGTCAAACCAACACAGCTGATTAACACATCAACACAAATTTTACTTTAAATAAAATATACGAGTAAAGATGTTACGCTCTCTTAGATGCTCTCATTTACTTGAAAATTTTCTTGTGGAATGCATTTTTGTGTACACAGAGTTATAGTACATTCACACTATCTCATTTTGGAGGTTTTGCTCATTATAATCACTAATGAGCATGATTTACCATACAAAGAGGTTTCATATAAATGAGCTGATTTACAATAAATCAAGGGAGAAGGGAGCCTCAAGGGAAATGACCAAAATTTGAGGTATGTGTCATATATTTTTAAATATAAAATGTAAACAAACAACAACTGAGCTGTAAACAAGTACACTGAGAAAGTGAGTATTAAATACAATCTGTTTTTATTAATTGAATATGTAATTGATATATAACATGTATATAAATGATTTAATATATCAATTAAATATTTGAATTTTTAGTGAGATATATTATTAAGCGAAATTTGTTTATTTCAGATGGATTCAAGTCAATGACAAAAAGAAGAAGTTATATATGTAATACATATTTAAATAATTGATTTTATATTAATTTTATCAAATATTATTTTCAGACACATAAAATGAAGAGAAGGAGAAATGCTTGGTCGGAAAGTGCCGAAAGGTGCCCGACGGAACGCACATATTTTCAATGAGATGGCCACAGAACTTTAGAATAGGGGTTTTCTGGTCACTTCGTTAGAAGTGCAAAAAGGCCCACAACTTTACACAAAGATTTAGCTAAGTATTTCATAAGTGAAATTGAAAATTACAATAATAATTTGTGCACTGAAACTGTTTTGTTTTTTACTATGTGATGTCCTTTCATATGGTATAATAAAAAGAGATTTAAATGTAATTTTGTTAATTTTTTTATTTATTTTTCTTAATTTGCTTGTTTGTTTATTTTAAATCAGGAAAGAACAGCAGTGTGTTGGAGTTTCGGGAGGGGCGCCATCCGACTGGAAGTACTTCTATATATTGAAAAGATTTCTAGGCAATTTGCCCATACATAACACTACAAAATTAGTGTTTGAAAGTATTGTAGGTGAGTTTTCACAAATTTGTTTAAATTTTTCACGTACCCAATTTTTATCCACTACATAATTTTTTTCATTTAAAAAGTTGTGAAGAACACATCAGGATCGTATAATGCTATTCATGTTTTCGATTTTGTTTCCAATGCTCTTCCCTCTTCTGCGAAACCTTGCCTTAAGTTGCCCAAAAGCATTTTCAACCACTCTTCGACATTTAGATAATTGGTACTTAAAAGTTTTTTGACCAATGCTAGCGTTTTCATCATAAGGGTATGATTTCATACCTTTGGTGGAAAATCGAAATGCAGAATCAACGAGGATCAAGACGGGTATTTTGACACCATTAATCACCCTACCTTTGTCTTCTAGAGCAATACAATTTTCTAACTGCCTCTTAAGTGATGAATTTTCAAAAATGAAAGAGTCATTGACTCTTCCAGGATACCCAACATTTGTATAAAGAAAACGGTATCTGTAAATAAGTAGTAAAATATATTTGCGCGTTTATTGAAATTTCGTTGTTTATTTACTTATAAATTACTTACCTATAATCTACGAGGGCAAACAAAACAATCAAGTACCACCCTATATAGTTATAGTAGTCAACAGCATTCTGAGATTCTGGTTTTATTTCAATGTGGCTTCCATCTTTACCGTTGCTTACAATTAATATGTTTCACTAATAGTAAATTGAAAACTTACCCATTGCACCTAAACATTGTGGAAAACCAAGAACCTCAAATCCTCTGATGCACTCATTCATCTTGTCGCTTGTTAATGGAAATGCATTCATGTACAAGGGTGAAAGAATTTTCCACACCTCCTGACAAAATAATTTCAGGCAAATGCACACGGTTGACTTGCCAACGCCAAACAGATTTGCTACGCTTCTGTATTCAGTTGACGACCCAAGATAATACAACCTAATAGCAATTCTCTTTTCTAAAGAAATTGAAATCGGAAAGGTTGATCTTTTTTCTGTAGTCCTTTTAATAATTCACATAACTCTTTAAAACATTCCAAACTCAAACGAAAATTTTCTTTGAGTCCACTTCCCAGAATTTCTTAGTTATTTTCTGAAAAAAATGTTAATTTTAAACTTTATTTAATAATCATTACTGGCGGCACTAACCAAAGTCCAGCACTTCCTCCGGTTCCTAGCAATTATTGTAGAAAGTATTGATATTTGTTTTTTTCACGCAGCGAATTCTCTTTTATGGCCTCTATGGTCTCAAAATGCGTATGGTCTCAAAACTCGCAATGGCAATTTGAGCAGGGGGAAGAGGAAAAGTCACACGGGGCCATATGTGAAGAGTACGGTGCTTGGTTGATAATATTGGTGGAGTTTTTGGCCAAAAACTACGACACAACCAACGTTGTGGTGTAAAATCCAAGAGTTTTCCTTCCATAAATCTGGCCTAGACCCATGTCTCATCACTAGTTATGATGGGTTATCATCAGTTATCTTTGTATAGACGCCAAACAAAAACTAATCGTACGATATGCGTTAAACTTTGACAGAATGTGTATAATAATGTTGCAAGCGTGAAAATAAAAAAATTTTCCAATTGAATAAGCGCGGGAATTCAGAAAAAGAACGAATAAGTTCTTTTTTGATCACAAGGTATTTTATTTAGAGAACTACGATATCTGGAATTAACAGATAACAATAACAGCAAGATTTCAAGACGTCAAGAACCAGTAAGACTTCACCACGAAGATCGAACCGCTCTTATCCAAAGTTGTTTAGATATTTGACAAGTTTATTCTACCTGACAGATTTCATGTCTAATAGAATTTTTCTATGAAAAAATAAAGAAACCTATCCGTGATAATGTCGTTTTTATGTCTGGAAGTGTCAAACCTTGTCAAATGATTCCGTTATGTCGATGAAAGCTGCAGTGCATTATTCTTTTCTTTCAAGACTATCTCCTGCATATTGATAAACTCGAATTATCTGTTCAACGGTTGAATGGGAGTTTCGATAGCCGAATTGGTGAGCGACTTTGAGTGATATGGTTAAGACGTTGTAAAAGTTTTTTTGCTTTGGAGAGCACTGGAAGTAAGCTTATAGGTCTGCAAGATGTAACTAACTCTAATGGTTTACCTGATTTTGGCATCCATTGATTTCGATAGTATTCTTGACTAATAATAGCATTAAAAAGTTGTTTGATGAGTACAAGTCCAATGTTTGGTAGCTCTTTCAACACTTGGCCAGTAATCAAATCGTACCTTTTTGATTTTAATTGTCCATTTAATTTCTTGTATTATGGTTTTTGGAACGGGAAATCCATTTGACGCGCTGTTTACAGAATGCCTCAATTTCAGCGTCATTTCCGTAATTTCTGGACGGATAGGGTATAGTATGGAATCCAAACTAAATAAATGTTGTTTGCCTCACTTATCTCGTTAGGAGATGAGCAGCAGTGATTTATTGTCAGCTTTAAAATGTAAATATCATTTCACACAATGTCGTATTACATCTTAGCTTTAAGCTACCACTGCAATTGTTTCTTAGTTTAGAAGCGACTGCGTAAATAAGGATTGACTCACCCCTGTTTGGAGAGATTTGTCATTGCTATCGATTGATGTAAGTATGGTTAGGGTGATGTAATCAATATTCATTGTATGTTGGTATGTTGGTGAGCTCTGGCATAATTGTTGAATCACCCTAATTGAAATTCTTCCATCTCTTGACGGAGTTGGGTCTGACTGCATAAATGTAAGAAGTCTGAACAGCAATAATTTTGATTGGAGAAGGCGAAAAAGGTGTGAAGTGTCTTTGACGTTGTTGGTCTCATTGCTTTCGTAACAAGAACAGCAGCCAGTCTTTGGGCTTTGTTCGTACATTTGGTGTAAGTTACATTGTCTAGGGAATACTACCAGAAAACTGGAGAACAGAATAGCTCTGATAACGGTTGTGCAGATCCAGTACATGATTTAAGGCTAAAAACCCCATTTGTTTCCAGTATGTTCATAGATATAGAGTGCAGCTAAACCTTTATGAACTTTTGCATCTGCATTGAGCTTCCAACTCATTTTCCTTCATAGTAAAAATCTTAAGAATTTTGCACTGTCTTCTATTTTTAATTCTACTCCATTTAGAGAAGAAACAGTGGGATATTATGCTTGCCTGTAAATAGAGTCAAATTCCAAAACTTGTTACTCAAGGTCCCCTCCACCATACGGCTGACATCATCGTCGTCCACGAAATGAAACGTTCATTTGTTATAAAAACGCAAATGAACAATATTTACTATAGCTGCCAAAAAAATAGGTGTAAGACTTTGAAACTCAGTCCAGAAGTTCACATTAGTGAACGAAAGGCTTGCTACTATCCGTATTAAGTTAGAATTCTGAAATATTACTCTTATTTGTGTGTACGTGCCGACAGAAAAAAATGACTTGACCATAGATACCTTTTGCATGAGACTGGATGTAATATATGACCGCAATACCGCCCACGACACTAAGTTTTTTTCAGGGATTACAATGCAAAGGTCGAAAAAGAATAAATTTTTCGTCCAATAGTCGAAAAATTTAGACTCAGTGAATCCACTTATAACAACGGTCTGAGGTTGATTGATTTCACTTTGGCGAGAAACATGTAAATGTGTAGGTCCAAATTTCCCTACCCCGACAAGGCTACTACTTTGTCACAGCTAACATGCGGATACGGCAGTAAGCTGCGATCACGTGAGACAGCCAAAGTCTCTACTGGTTAACTCTCTAACTGATTGCACAACTAACCTTATCGTTTAAATAATGGCTTGCCGATATTGTGGCAGATAATAAGGACATATTTGTTATTCTTTACTGGATATTGCCTTGGCTTTTAATGTGTCCCTCAACAAATGCAGTTCTAAATTAAAGTGTCTTCAGACTACTGTTACGAAGAGTGCAGCGTGTAAAAGAGCAACTACGCAAACCGTGCATGAACAATACCGGGAGATGAGGCGCCTTCTTACGCGAAAGCAACAAGAGCACAAGCGAGAGAAAATCGAATAATATTTCAAATGAAAACAGAGTTTACTGAGAAAATATGGAAAGAATATTTCTGCAAAGTATTACCTAGCGGTGATAACATTTTTGCCTTTGGACAAATGCACCATTGAGTACACATGGGCTACTAAATGTGTGTCGCGCAGACGCCGAGTTGGTAACTGGCGATTATACTTTCAAAGATGTTAAGAACTTCTATATGTGCATAATTCATCTATATTGGTGCTGCCGTGACAAAAAACGGTATCAGCTTGGAGATCAGATGAAAATTACTTTTGACACTAGAGTTTTACTATGGGCTCAGTAGACAAATGGCATTTTGAGCATTCTCTCGACGGACAAAACTAACGCTCTATAGGACACTTATCCCACCTGTACATCTATATGTTGCAGAAGCGTGACGTTAACAGTTTTTGAGAAGAAAGTCATTCATAAGATCTTTGGTCCTCTATAAGTTTTATTTCGACGTTGATGGTTTTGCTGGTTTGATCATATCGTGAAAATGGATAACAATGCTCTAGATATTAGGTATTGCCGAAAAAGGTATTTAAAGCGATAGTTGAAGGAAGGAAACCGGTGTAGTATTTAAGTTGAGAATGCGCGTATCTAGCAGTATCTATTGCATCAGGCCGAAATCCGATAACGGGTTATTGCGGCTCATGGAGTGAATTTCTGGGCTGACATTGCAGCTGTTTTTGGTGCAGCCAAATATCTATCATCATTGGTATTTTGAAAAATCCTCTATCAATGCTTTTGCAAAATGCTAACGATCTCTAGTGAGTCTGCTGAAATGTTTCCTACAAGCAATAGTATAGTAATGATTGTAATGATTGTAACGATTTACAATGATTAATAATTTATATAGCTGTGATTTTTCCGTCAGTTCTAATTAATAGCACAGAAAGTGCTCTTGTTGTTTACAAATAAACATTAGATTCTTAAATAAAGTTTTAATTTTATTATTATTGCATTTCGAACACAAAACTAAAACTGAACAATATATTAAGTAACGAGTAAGAACTTGTATTTATTATAATTTATTTGTGAATATATGGTATATATATATTTAAAAATGATTATTTATTGCATACGCGTATGTATTGTAATTTAAACTGCATCTGCTGGGCTTTGGAATTCAGAGAGTGCATGTATTGGATTTTGGATTTTCTTTTGAGAACCTTTTCGAACTTTTGCACGTACTTCCTCCGGTTTTTCTGGTCGAACTAAGGGCTTCTTTTCAGGTGCTTTCATTTTCCAAACAACAATCGGAGACTAAACCAAATGATAAATATTTTTATTGTATTTAGATTGTGCAGATAATAATATAATATAATAAAATAAAAGTATGACAAATAAATATGATATAACAAAATAAATATAATATAATAAAATAAAATAAAAATAGTAAAAATTAAAATATTTCCTTACCGCTACGGTTCCTTGACGTGTATATTTTGTAGAGGCAACATAAGAATACTTTACGGTCAAAACAACTGCATTCATTAAATTCTTGGCTGCTTGAATCAGAGAAGTAGCACTATCCAGCTATAATTATATTATGTTGTAATTATGATTGAATTTAATATAATTTTAATCAAAACTTACACCCGAAACAATTAGTTCTCCACTAATATTTTGGACATCGGCTTTCACTTTTGAAGTGATTTGGATTTGATGACAATATAACGCAATCCGTTGTAAATAAGCTAGTAAATCTTTTTTGGTACTGCTTTCTGGGCATTGCTCTGCAATTTCTCGAGTTAGCTTATCAAGCTTTGTACCAGCTTCAGAAATTTTTTTTGCAGCATTAATAACATCCATAGTAGTTTTTAAAGGCCCACGACCACTATTAATATTAAAATAAATATATTCAATATATATTATATATTAAACCACAATATACCGGGTGAAATCAGTCATTTCCATCATTATCATGCACATGTGTTTTGCCAAGAATATTATATCATTTCCAGTATCATCCCATTTGGCAACTTCTGAATCAAATGTAAGTTTTTCCCGACGGAACAGCTCGACTTGTTGCGCAATTTTTTGTTTATCTTCTTCAGTCATTTTGCGCATAGCTTCCTATAAGTAACAATACAAAAATCTATATGATACGGTCATTTTATTTAATTCTATACGTACTCTGGCTGTGCAAATACCACTAATGTCTGGATATTCATCAACAGTCTGATCACCAGTGTGAGCGCTTGCTGCGAATATAAATTAATCTCATAATGTTTTCTTACTTATTTAAATAATATTTAATAAATTAACAATTTTTTTAATCCTTTGGTTTACAATTTAATGCACTGTAATATTTAGTTATATTTAGCTAATTCTTGATCGAAAAATATATCTGGTGACAGTGCAATAAAGATAATTAAACTGTTTAGTTTGTAAATTAAAATAACTTAAACACTAAATTAAAAACATATATATATATATATATATATACATATATATATATATATATATATATATATATATATATATATATATATATATATATATATATATACATATATATATATATATATACATATATATATATATATATACATATATATATATGTAGTTTTGTATTTTAATGCTTACATCTACTGCGCGTCTCCAATGTCATATCTTCAACTGGTTCAAATTCAGTATCAGTATCTAAATCTTCAGAGCTCTAAAAACAAACAATTGTCATTACAATCTGGTAAAATCATAATTTAAGTTGGATTTAAGACTTAATATATGTATAAAATGAATAAAGCAAATAAATAAACAAATTATAAGAATTTTATGAAAAATTAATTATTTTTGGATCACAAGTTATAGTCAGGTGCCAAAAATTATAGTTATTTCAAAAATTTTCAAATAAAAAGCAACAATAAAAAATGATATAAATTCAAATTTTAGTATGTAATTATGACTTTAACAACATAATGCATTCTTTATATATATTTGACTTTTAAAATAAAGCTAAAAAATATAATAATTAATTTTGTTTTAAACTACATATTTTTATATTTTGTGCCCAAAAAATTCTTGTATTCTGCTTTTATTATTTTTACTTTAAAAACATGAAAATATATAAATGTGTAACTTTTTTTTGAAAACTAATAATATTTATTAATATATTTTAATAATAATAAAATTATTATTAAAAACTATTTTAAAAGGCGGATGATAGGACTTATCAGTTGACTTTTTTAAATAATAACTTTCATAATAGTTATAACTATAACAGAGACCATAGTTCCTGGTTCTAGTAATTTATAATTATTGTTAATTAACATTTATTGTTAATTAATAGTGAGTTAATAATAATTAATAATATGATCGATAAAATTGAATAAATATTGTTTTTTTTATAATTAATTTTGAATTTAATTTTAAATTTTTAACTTTTTCATTCCTGACATTATGTTCACTTATCTAATAAAAATAGCTGCATTTGTGGATTTTTTACTTTTTCAGTTGCTATAATTATTGTTTATATAATTATTTATAATACAATATTAAAATTAATAATTTACTGTTACAGATTTCTTATGTAAATAAATCTAAAATTTCTAAAATTATATATAAGATCAGTTAACTCTTACCCTATTCATTAAAACTGCTCGTCGAATTTCACGTACTCCATCGTACACTAAACGTGATGCATCAATAAAATCATTTTCGTCAACTTCTTGATTTGACGGAGATAAAAGCGCATCAACCGCTAATTGAACTCGTTGTCCAAATTTTTTCATTACTGCAAATTATAGTGTAAAATATTTATATATGTTTTACTACAGTGTAATAAATTTTATAAATTGTTTTTTTATTAACCTTCATCGCGTAACAGTTTAACTGCTTCTAGAACCCGTTGTGTATATATACATGGCTCATAGTTATCCATTTCAGCTTTCACAACACTGCATACACGTGCAGAACGCCCTTGAATAGATCCAGCTGTTGTCCGCAAATCTTGAGCGTCACCAACTTGTAAAGCCATAACACATTTGTTAACATCTTCTAATATGTGATTTTCAGAAACAGCAAGAAAATCATCAATTGTGGTAATATCATCCACTGCCTCCGTTAAAATTTTTACTTGACAATCCCATGCTTGTATATAAGCTTCCAAATTTTCTCGAGCAACTTTAGAGTTAGGTCGATCGGTTAATATTAAAGCTGCATTAATAACTTGAGGACATAAACTTTCTATTTGAGCTGCAGCATACCTAACCATCTTCACTCCGTCTTCGTTATTTGACATACTACATACAAGATTAGCAACTTCGACTAATTTTTCTGCATGCTTCGTAAATATTTCAGCTTTTTCTCGTACTTTTTTTTCATTTCCAGTTTTTGCCGCTTCATACAATTCTAAAAGAGGAGTAGTGATTTCCAAAAATGAGTCAGAAACGTGATCAACAACAGCTTTTCTTAATTGGCGACGCAAGTCACGAGTTTTACGACACATTTGATCAATGGCTCGTTCAAGACCGGGACTATTCTCTTTCTGACCCATCTTGAATTAAAAAAAAATTCATTTTATTTAATATTTATTTTGTAATACGTTTTGTTGTTACCATATATTATAGGATAGATAATATTAGTATATTTACATTATATATGTAAAAATTATAGCATAAAGGAACTTAATATATCATGTTTTATATTATTTATATTAATTCAGATGAGTGTAGGACTGTAACGAAAGTTATTTATCTAAAAATCATATTAGTTTTCTTAGTATCTGAAACTATTAATTTTGTTCCATTTATTTATTATCGTAAGTTAGCTAAAACAGTATCAAAACTGAAGAATATTTAAGATTCACCATTTGAGGTGGGTTTACCTATATAACTATATGCGTTTACAAAATGTAGTACACTTTACGTTAAATTGTAAGTTTATGTTAATGCAATTTAACTATTTCTTGATCTACCAAAATTCACAAAAATCATTAATATCAGAGGTACATGGCCAAATTAAATCAAGAATATATGTATATGATATATAAGATTACAAAAATTTTGATAAACTATTAATATTCATAATAGTATGTAGAGTATAAAAAAAGATTCTAGCAATCACTGATTATAATATTTAAAATTTAAACTTACGTTTGACATATATTCAGAAAGCAAATCTTGCAATGCTTGTCTTACAGCATTGCATTCTGCTACAATACGCTCTCGCCGTTCATCGCGAGTACAGTCTGCATCTGCCATTAGGGCAGCGGCACTAATTATACTTTCAAGGCGTTCTTCTAACAATTGTCTAGACCGCTTTTCACTATAAGCCATAGGATCCATTATAATACCTTCCTGAAAAATAAAATATTTTCATAAGTAAAATTAGTTACATATTACAACAAATTTTATTAGATTACATCAAAATCGTCTAATGCTGTAGCTAGCTCTCCAGCGCCACTGTACATATCAACTGGTTGCGATGATTTGCCTTGTGCAACATCGCTTATAGTATTAACAGCGTCACAAACTTGTTTAAGCACAAAATCCCGATTGACTTTAGCAAGGTCTAGCTCTGGATGACGAACATACACTTTTGAAGCAGTAAGCAACATCGTAGAGTGTTTCTTTAACATAGCACGCGCAGCAGCTAAGTCATCACGTAACTGAGGATCTTTAAGCTCCTGCTGACGCTTTGCTGCTTGCTTGATCAATTCACCAGCGTTTTTACCAAATCGCTTAAATTAAAATACATAAAGTTTAATCATTTTATATATCAACGATGATTTTCTAAAATATATACATATATTACACGTGTACGAGACTTAAATTTTAAAAATACAAGCAATAAGGAAAAATTATTTCAATTATATTAATTACAGTGTTATGTATATTGTAGCAATAAGAATTAAACTAACCTTCATATTATTTATGAGCTCATCCTGGCTAGAGGCATTTTTTAATTTATTTAAATCATCTTCTACGACATGTAGTGACTTCAGAAGTAAATGTACATCCACCATATCAGCTAAAATCAACAGTCTTGTAACTGCAGAGAGAAGATTACGTGCGGCGCGCACCATATTTCCACGCTTTAATGAACTGCATGGATCTTCAGAAAAATCTCTAGAAGCAACACTCATTGATTCTCCTGTCTTTCTAACTTCATCGACGGCTGTCAGCATTTCCTGTGTTATGTCAGGATTTTCATAAGCAATTTGTTCACCTTTTTGGATAAAGTTTTCCGTTGCTTTCTCAACTGCAGCCACAAGTGCACTTGCTCTCTTAGATTTACCTTTTTATATAATAATAATTTAGATTTTATTTTCTTTTAGAATACGTTACATATAAAAATGTAAACGCGTTTTCAGTACGAACACATAAATTTAAAAACGTATTTTGGTAGAGTCACCTATTTTGATTTTTCATTTTAAATACGCAGATTTTTGTAGATTGATAGTACTTTATATCGAATTTAGTTCAATGAAAAAATAAAGATACTTACTTTGTGAATAATAAAAATATTGATTTACAGATAACTTTTGAAGGTGGTAGCTTAGACGATCATTAACATCAGCTAAAATTCCATTTACCATTCAGTCATATCTATTCCCTAGGCTCAATGACCTAAGAACACCGTTTTCATACGATTCATCAATCAAAAAAAAAAAATCAAATCGTGGTGTACTTTGAAGGCCATTCCAGAAATCAATTTTAACAACTGTTTTCAGAATTGGAAAAAATATTTCCATAAGCACATTGTATCGGGAAGGGATTACTTTGAAAGCGATAAATATATTTAGAAGCGTAAATAAATATTTTCAAAGTAATAAACAATTTGCCATTACTTTTGGATCAGGCCTTTCAAAAACCATAATGCTGCTGTTTAGTTAGAGTCTGTGCGAGTATTTCGTCTTACAGAGAGCCAAAATCACTATTGTAGTTCTTTTTCATTCAATTGTCAACGTTCTATAATGTGTTTTAATTAGAAGGTCTAATATAGATAGCAAAGTTTTAATTACTTTTTAAATAGCATAGCTAACAAAAAAAAAAACCCTAAAGTGGAAAAAGTAATATAGGTTAAAAGTTATATTCAAACAAAATTCAATACTGAAATGGTCTGAAAATGAAAAATTTAATCTAATTAATGCAGTTACTAAAAAGATTTGACGAAAATTAATTTGAATTGTTTAACAAGTTATAATTATTGTTAGATGGCATAAAAACCTGGACCATATTTTCATATAATAAAATTTTTTATTGAAGTCTGTGTGGTTACAGTCTCATTGAAACTGCAATGAGTATGGTGGGCGCCAGTTAGGTCGTTCTTTGCATTAGTAATTTTTAATATTTTTTATATATTAAAATCGTTACTATTACATATGTAGAGTGTATAGAGGATATATAATTGTAATGCAATTAATATAATTATAATGGAAAATAATTTTTTGGTATTATTTATGACCAGCTTGTTAAATTATTTAGTTCTTTAACTGTCATCTGAAACTACTTAGTTTCTCCAAAATAAACAACAACACAAAATGGTAGCAATTATTATTGTTTTAATTTTCAATAATTGTAAATTAAAATTCAATTGAAAAACAATATTTGCTGCCCTTTTATAAAAAATTTTTTCTAATAAACGCTTTATATATAATAATAAAAAAAAGTTATTGTAAGCGAATTTAAATAAATATGAATATGACAATATATATTGTTTGTGGTTTTGTTTTGTAATTATTATAATTTTATAAATGTTTCTCATTGTTTAAATTTAAAAAATAAATAAAAATGTCAGATACCCGTGAAGATATTGGCGAAACGTCACGTCTGGTAAATGATAAAATAAATTTTTTTTATTTGTAATCAAAGAAAAAGACCAGAGTAGCCTAATAAAATATATTAATACATTTTTTTTAATAAATATGGAATAAATAAATATAGTTTGCGAACATAATAAACGCATGTTTTGGGATGCGTTTTTGGTTTTAAGTATGTAAGTTAAATTTTGAAATATAACTTTTGGAAAGGAGGATTGCGACAACTATTATAATGCTGAAGACACTTGATTAATGATAAAACCTACAAAGTAATAAAAAACCTTACGAGATAAAGAGAAGTGCTTTGACTACTAATTGCATTTAATACGAAATATATTAAAATAAAAAGCAGAAGTGTTAAGTAAGCTACGAAAAAGGACACATACAGCGACTGGAATATTTTCTAAGATATAATTAGTTTCCATTATATTAGTTCTATTACATTACTATGATATTCTAATACTGTATAATAACTTTATCTATATATAATGTATTACTTAGATATGTGACACACACTTTTTTTACATAAAAAAAGTGTTAGAATAATAAATAGTTATCATCAAATAATTTTTATTAATTCTTTGTCAATGAAAGTGCAGTTTTTTCATTTTTGATTTGTTTTGTAGGTATATAATATAATTTGGGAAATGCAAAAATATTTTTTAATTTTTGTAGTTTATAAAATCAAACATTATCGTTTTTATGCAAAAACTTGTATTTCGTTAAAATTGTTTATTCATCATTGGCTTTGTTCATTATACACTGAAATATGTATTTATTGTGTACTTGTTAGGTGCAACTAATACTCACAGTAATTATTTTATATATGTAAATATATAGACTAACTTATGTATATTAAAATGAAATAATTTTACCTTTTTTCTTCTTGCTTGGACCTTTGGTATTTACTAAAGTAGTAACTTGCAGGACCAGAGGTTCCAAAGTTTTTTCAACCGACATAGTTCTTATTTCTAAATTTTTCGGATCCCATTTTAATGATATTTGTCCAAAATCGATATGAGCCTCCATCGTAAAAATGATTTAGTTTTACTTCTTTCGATTTCTATAATACTAAAACACTTTCACATCAAATCCAAAATTAGCTTTTTATAACGCTATGTAAATTAGCAACCAATTAAAAAATTTATTGTAAAGAATTGCTATGTATATTAAAATGGGAATGTGGAACGAATCAGAAGGGCTTGTAAACGTTCGTTTAAGCCATAGTAACAACAATATTATTGTTAAGAAGAACGAGTGAAATCAGAAATGTGTACATCAAAACTAATATACGCCAAACAACTGGCGTCGACTGGTAAACGAGAAAAAAATTGTGTATGGCACTTGCTATCATACACTTTCATTTAAAATAGTAATTGTGTAAAGTAAATAAATGTTAGTTTTTTCACGTATATGCTTTTTATTGTACATTTGTAAATAAAAAGTACATGTTTATAACTACATCAGTTAACATATATACGTATTACTAAAATGTTTACATAGTTTTTAAATTTGAAGATTGAGATAAAAGTCTTCATTTAGTTAAAAAAAATGCATTAGTTCTTAATGTGAAAACTTATTCTGTATTTCCGTAAGGATATCTAAATGTTGATGACACAAAAACTATTTATTTCTGTAGAATAACAGATTTTAAGTGTAGCAAAAAACCTAGTTATGAAAAGACCATTTTAGAGATTCCAAAAGAAATGATTACCAAAGCGATAAGTGAACTTGATTGGAAACTTCAACGAATACGCCAGTCATAAAAATTGTTGAAATAAAATATGCAAAATTGTGGAAATGACATATTTTAAAAATATGTAAAATTGCTTACAATAAATATATACATATAAATACGAGGTTGGTTTGATAAGTCAGTAACTTTTTGAATTTCCCGCGCAGTTACTCCAATTACAACAGTGTTGCCGTCAGCTGGAACCTACCTGTGGGAAACTTTTTAATTTTGAGCAAGCTACGTCGCTCAGTTGGTGTTTGATAGTCGTTCAAAGCACACAACCTCGTAGATTTTTACGAAAATGGAAAAAAGTGAATTTCGCCATTTCTTTAGGTTTGGAAACAAAAAATAATCGCACGGGGCTAAATCTGGAGAATATGCTCCAGAAATTCTCTTTTTTCCATTTTCGTAAGAATTCACAAGGTTGTCTGCTTTGAACGGCTATCAAACACCAACTGAACGACGTAGCTTGCTTAAACTTAAAAAGTTCCCACTGGTAGATTACAGCTGACGGTAGCACTGTTGCATTTGGAGTAACTGCGCGGGAAATTCAAAAAGTCACTAACTTATCAAACCGCCCTTGTATATAAAAAAATTTTTAGGAATAAAAGATAAGATATTAAGGACGTGTGCGAGTTGTTCTAATATCATGCTAAACTAAATGGGATTTTCCTTGGGATTTTTTGTACTGCACATATTTAGCAACAAAGTTCAAAAAAAAAGATGCGAGTTGCATTATGGCAGCTAATATCAGCTGTGAATATATTTTGATTTTAATATTTTGTTTACATATTTTACAATGGCGGAGAACTTACAAATTCGATGAAGCATTTTTATTGAAGCAATTTTTCAAATTAATTGGAGTTAAATAATCTTCGTAAAATATTGAAATAGAGATTCTTAACAGAATATCCAAAGGTGATTATAAAATAATTTAGTAAATAACAAATTATCAGTTTAATTATTTACGCAGACTCTTTTGCCTCAATACGATTATAACTGCATTATCGACACACTTTAGTGTTTTCTACGTTTTACATCAATTAAGATATATTAAGATATACACACCCTATGTATGGAAAAAATTATGTACCATTTACTCTTGATAATTATTGCGTCGTTATATTATCGGCGCATACGTGTAGTATTCATGTAACCTTTTGCTGTTCTACGTTCCAACAGTTCGTCTCAATATTTTATTATTTTTTTTTTTCATCACCTATATATTAAAGTTCAGCACGACAATATCTGTATATATAAAGTACAGAGATTTTTGTATCGAACTGCTCAAGTTATTCAATTGTGAGTAAAATTTTCTGACGTACTGAATTCCACTAATTCAATTTAATACTGTTGATTTAGTACAATAATAGAGTGATTTCTGTAAAGACTTTTTGTTAGTTGAAAAAGATTATACAAATTATCCAATAAAAGTTTTATACATCTTTATAAAAATTTGATAAACGCATCTATAAATCTTAGTCATAGGTGTATAATAATGTGTTATTATTAAGCAAAATTAGAGAATTGTAATTCGTTTTCAATCATATGCACTGCACAAAATATTTATATACGTAGTGTCGATACTTCGTTTATGGTATAATGTATCGGTACGATTCTGAATCTAAGTCAAATTGCCAAGAAAGTGTATTAGTGTCAAACAAATATAAAGAAATTATAATAATTTGCCTCCTTTGTTTACTTAGAGGTTCTACTTTCAAACTTTGAAAAAAATTAATCTGACTATGGACTCCTGCAATTGCGTTAAATGCAGCGTATTTTAAAATGACAAATTATAATAAAAGTGAAGGTAACATTTAAAACTAGTTATGAAAATGTATAGTTTGTTGTACATTTAGTAAATATAAGCAACACTAGATAATTTAGTAATTTTTCATATGACAATTAATCAAATATTTTCAGACGATATTTTTTATACGTGTAAATTGTTTTATAGTAATAAAAAATGGAATTGCTGTTGTAAATATAATTATTTATGCAAAACTCTACAATCGTCGCTCATTACTGGCTATACAATATTATTCCAAAGTTTCAAAAAAAACAGAGATCTACGTTGTGTACAAATTTAAAAAATCGCATGTATAAACATTAATATATTTAATATATAATTTTAAATACTTTTTAATATAATTGCAATATTTTTTAATTTAGTGTAACTCTCAAAACAGACTTGCATTCGTATCTTAACTAAAATTAGTAATCACCACTTGTCAGATTTAAACATTTTCCATGGAAAAATTAATGCTTTTAATATTTTAAATAAATTTCTGCTAGTCGCTTATATTTAATAGGAACATCAAATATTTTATACAGATAATTTTAAATTTTCTACTTAACAAACGATTTATATTTGTCGTATAAAAATTCATTAAAAAATCCATCAAAGAGAAAAGTTGTATGTAGGAACCGCATATTTTTACATTTAATAAGAATAAGAATTTTTATAATGTAAAAAATAAACAAAATTTGGTATAAGTATATATACATGATATTCTTTTTGGATTTCATTCAGATAGATTTGGATGTAGGTATATGTGTAATATTAACTGACGGTTCAGATTTAAGTTTAAAAAAAAAACTTGTATTTAGTAAGCTATTTTCATTTACTTTATGTTCAAATTTCGTTATAAGTGCACTATCATCAATATAACTGTGTTCTTTAAAACTGTGTTCTTTTTATCAGCGTATATCAACGTTACCATCATTCTCTCTTAATTTAATACTAATTATTGCTTAGTGATTGATTTAGATTTGAAAAGAGATGTGATGGAAGTTACCAATATTCTCTCTTAATTTAATACTAATTATTGTTTGGATTTGGATTTGGATAAAGATGCGATGAAAGTTCAGGTCAGAACTGCACATGATCTGAACATTGCACTTGTGCTAATTACTTGAATCAATGCATAAGCCGCATTTGAATAGATTAACTTAATCATTGTAAATTGTTATTTTTTCAATCTTGAATGTTTTTTGTCTTTCAGTTCATAAATAACAATTGGTTATATTATCTATTACATCTATGTACATAAATAGTATATATGTATTTTATATTTAGCATATTAAATTGAGACGTATTAAAACCTATATCTGTATACAATGTCAATGTTCTGTTAATGGTTCTAACTCTTGCTTTACTATGTAATATTGTTAGTAAATATTTTAAACATACACTAGAGAGATATTGTTCTGATGTAGTGTGGAAACTGACTGTAGTCAATTAAAAAAATGTTTTATAGGTTTGACACTGACTGTCGTCCGTTCATTCATTATAATTATCTGTACATTTTTGCAAATTATATAGGATACATACACCGATTTACTCAAAAAATATAAAATTGTATATAATACCTTGAATTGTATTATTTTAATAATTATAAATTATATAAGGTATACAACATCGGTAAATTGATATTACTCTTAACTTTTAAAGTATACTTTTTTTTTTTTTTTAAATTTCATCTTATATTTTTTTATAAAATTAAACTTTTAATTTTTTTTCTAAAATTTCACTTTTAATTTTTTTTCTAAAATTCAATTTCAATTTCATTTTTTTTCCAAAATTTAACTTTTTCCATTTTGTCTTTATTCTTCACAGGTATAATTTAAGTTAATATATGTTATGGCCAAGAAAAATGGTACTATCAATCCGTGTTTTTCATTTCAAAGAATTTTCGTTCATAGAACAAGGTTGAGTCATGCAAATCGAGGTCAGCGTGTAAATGATGTCGAAAATGGAAAAGTAGATATAATGGAAAAGGTATGTTTTTAATACTTGAAGCTATATTTAATTTAAATATTAGTATATATATAATTGCCGTTCTTTTTGCAAGGGTTTAATTACCTTTTTAGTGTAGTAAGCACCTATCGTCTTAGACACTATTTTTATAAATCGTTGGTAACCCCAAGTATAAAATATCTTATATATACCGATATACTTCTTAAAGTTAACAATTAATCTAAATTATGTATGTAGTCAAAGTTGAATCATTAAAACAAATATTTAAAATATATCTGAAAATACTAAAAACTTAAAAATTGATTTACTTATATATATAAGGAAACTTTGAAAAAATTTCTTATAAGTTTACGTTGAAGTTTTTCAAACATTTGTAAAAGTAGTAAATATTTTATAGATGAAAGTTATTTTGCTAAATGTGAGTACAGTTTATCACTTCGGATGAAGTTTATAGCAATTCTTATATTTACATATCATATTTACTTAAGCCAGATACTCACTAGTTTCTATAGTGGACTATTAAAAATGATTATTATTATTATTATTCTTGTTTCAAGTTACCTACAGTTGAAAAATAAAAACTACTATATTATATTCTTTAACTAATGTTTAATAATGTATTGTCTGCACTTAAGTATATAAGTAATTTTTGTATTGTTTATATTGCTTAATTTTATCATTATTCTTAGATTATTTTCGAATTATATCAAATATTTTTAATTTAACCTATTTCAATATTTCCTATCTAGAAAAAGACAAATGACGGATCTTTAAACTCAAATAACATCAGTGAACAGTGTACTGAAAAGTACAACCAAGAATCTGGAGCTTTTAATGTAGATGACACTAATTTTTATTGTACAATATGCTGCCTAAAGGAATCATTAACAAATACATTTTTTACTTTGGAATTGTGTGGTCATAAATTTTGTACTTCCTGCCTAGTTAGATACTTAAAAAATGAAATCAACGAATCCAGAACGGATATAGGTAATATGTTAAAATTTATCTATTATTATTGAGATATATAATTTTAAATAATTATAATTGAAAAATACTAAACAAATAAATGTAATGCTGTATTACATATACATTTTCATAAAGTTATAAATATTAATAAAAATTTTTTTTTAATTAATGTTCTTATTTATATTTATATATAAATAAAATTGTTTTATCTTATTATTTTCATTATTTTGTATTTTAGCATGTCCACAATGTTCATCGGTTTTTCACCCTAATAATATCGAACTTTTGCTCACTGATGTACCAGAAATAAAAAATAGATATGAAGATTTCATGATTAGAAGATATCTTGTATCTGATCCTGATTCCAGATGGTGCCCAGCGCCCGATTGCAGGTATGAAAACTAATGAAGTGACAAATTTGTTTTGGGTTTTTCAAAGTTTAAATACCCAATACACAAACTTATTTAAAACTTAATAATAAACAGTCTCAGGTATAGAAATTTTAATTTTTGTTTTTGTACTGAGAGATATTTCACTAAAAGATTTTTGTCTTAAATGTTAGAGCCATCACTTATATTTGACAAAATAATATTAAGAATTTGGATTGTGTACCAGATGTAGTAAAATGTAAACTAGAATAAATAATAATATATGATAAATATAAAATATGATAAGTAAAATAAAAATAAATGTTACACATAATTGAACTTATTAAAATATAAACTATAAACAGTAAAAACTGTATTAAACGGACGCCAACATAAGTGAAAGTCTCTTAACTGTGTTATTTTATTTTTCATTAAAACTACGTTAATTCAAAAGAACAGTTCTCTCAGATCATTGCTGATCCCGTGGGTGTTCAGTTAGAAGAGTTCTTCTGTTTAAAAAAACGTAACTTGACAAATTAAAATATAATATAAAAATATGTATATGTATATATAATATATATGAATATAGACATATGACCCTCAGTCAAAGAATCTAGAATACAAAGAAGTACCACTCGGTCATACAAATGAAATACCCACTTTCTTTTGCTGGTTTATTTATTTATAATAAAGCCACCCAACCACCTGGTACTGGTACTGTGAAATTTATTCTAATGCTAAAAGATATATTTGACTTGAGTATAATATCACATAAGCCGAAAATATTTGCACAACTTTAATGTTTTTATATTTTTCTTACTTTAGTTATGCAGTAATTGCATCTGGATGTGCCTCATGTCCTCAGTTGCAGTGTAAACGACCAAGTTGCGGTTTGTTTTTTTGTTATCACTGTAAATCAGAGTGGCATCCAAACCAAACATGTGATGCTGCGCGCTCATTACGACAAAAAGCTATTCGGTCATCATCTGTTAGTTTTAGTCATGATTCAATACGACTTCGAGAAGAAATGAAGCCATGTCCACGTTGCCAAGTTCTTATTGTTAAAATGAATGATGGTTCATGTAATCATATGGTGTGTTCCGTATGTGGAGCAGAATTTTGTTGGCTTTGTATGAAAGAAGTTAGCGATCTGCATTATTTAAGGTAAATAAAATAGATTAATAAATAATTAAAATTTACAACAACATTTTACAGTCCATCTGGTTGTACATTTTGGGGGAAAAAGCCATGGTCTAAAAAGAAAAAAATTGTATGGCAAATTGGAACACTTATAGGAGCTCCAGTTGGTATTGCTCTCTTGGCAGGAATTGCGATTCCTTCTTTAGTGATTGGTAAGAAAATATAATATTTAAAAATGACTTAAAATAGACACAATCATAACTTTTTTTATCATTGTAAATTTTTCATTTAAATTACAACAATTTTATAATCATAATCATAATAATCATAATAATTTTATATTTTTGGCACTATAAAAATTTTTGTACCCACAGGTGTTCCTATTTGGGTTGGAAGAAAGTTATTCGATCGCTTTAAAACAAAAACCAAAAAGAAGAGAAATGTTTTTGTAACAATTGGAGTCACGGCTTCAGTAAGTATAGTAATGGCAATCTAATGTAATTATCTTTGATATACAGTCAAACTTCCATAACTCGAAGTTCAATTTTACAAAGAAAAGGTTCGACTCATGGAGACTTCGATTTGGAGAATTATTTTTTTTTTTTCATTTTTGAAAGAAACTAGAATTACATTTTAAGAGCCAAAAATTATGAAATGACAATAATGACTTTCTATGCATTGAAAAGAACCAATCAATATAGTTATATTTTTTTCTTTTTTAGATTTTAATATCACCATTCTTGGCTGGACTTGCCATAGCCATTGGAGTTCCTATTTTGCTCTTTTATGTGTATGGTGTTGTTCCAGTATCTCTATGTAGAGCTGGTTGTAGAACCTCTTCCGGTGAGGAATATATATTTGAAGGAAATACTGTAAATGAAAACCATGTAAATAATGACACTGTGAGCATTGGAACCATTTCAAGGGTTGGACGATTAAGTGCAGAAGAACTGAATATAACTACAACAAATGAAATTTTATTAGACAACACAAACAATACGAATGCTTCAACAAAATCTTTGAATAAATCAACAACAGCGCTTGAAGATAGCATACAAAATGCGATAACTGAACATAATGACAGTGATTCGATTGGATGTATGAGTAGATCAGCTATAAGAAGCAACAGTGAAAATTCATCGGAGGGTATTGATACAATTTCAAATGCTGTAGCAGATAATATAATTTTAATTAAATAAAGTAGATTATTCAAAAATTCGTTATTTACTATTCCAAATTTTTAAATTTCAACACTAAAGTTATCAGGTGAAAATTTAATGTAAAAAAAATTTTTAACCGATAAAAACAAAATTTTTAAACAAGATTTGAATTTTAATACCTTCACAAGTGAAAACATATTCGCAAGAGAATGTCAGGACGTTTTTATTGTCTGCTTTTAAAGAACGGGTTCCTTTAGAAGTTTTACATCTTTCGATTATTTAGAGCCTTGACGAAATGTACAGCCTTAGGCAATGCTTCAAAACTATTATAGTGAGAACAAAACGTGGTTATTTGTACTGTTGTTTGTTTTAAAAAGAGTGCAAATATATACCTGTGTCATTTTTTAAAGTATTTCATAACACGCCCTTAACTTATAAGTGTTTATTAGCTAAATTCATTCCATCAAGAAGTAGTGCAAAAGTATGGCTTTTCTTCTTGAAGATAAAGCCAAAGAAAATTATATACTGTCAATTAAGTTTCGATATTTATACCAATTTGTTTTGTTTGTCTAATATATATTTTCTTGCCATACACATTTTCTGAGAAATTGTAAATTAAAATAGAGGTCACACGCCTATACCTGAGATCTTCATCCAGTTTATTAATTTTTATGGAATTATTTTTAATGATCCTAGCCCCAATGCTATTCTTAGTATATTTTATTGGTACGTTACACGCTAAATAGAAAAAAAATAGAAAAACAACGGGGTGCTAGCTCTAGAAGCGCCGAACTCTGCGGCAATGATTTCTGTTATTCACGCACTAAAAATGATTAGAAGAAACTCCATCTTTTGAAAACGAAAATATCTGCTGTTTAATACATCCTTAATTCGGCCAAGGACAGGGACACCCAACTTAATGACAACTTAATGATCTTCCAATACCCCAAATCATAGATGAGTAATCACGAAGAATGTAACTAGAGATCTTATTTGATTTAAGATGAGAGGGTGAACACTGCTATAGTTGAACGAAGATATTAGATGTTTAGCCTGGCAATTACCTGGAGTATCGCACCAGTAGTGACTTTTTTCCGGTGCAAACCATTCTTTATCGTAGTTCTTGTTGTGGACCAATTTATACCAGAATATGGTAAGGTATTTTGCGAACTCGTTACCACTAATTCCTATATGACCAAACAGCCACTATAGTACCAATATTTTTTTGTTTGTCAGCTGCTGTAGCATTTAGTAGCAGTCAAGAGTCAATGCTTTAATTTCTGATCGAATATCTATATAAATACAAATAAGGACTCCTTTAAACCATTTAATAAGCTTGACTTGAGTAGGCCATAAATCCAGAGATTCTTGTGTTACAATCGAAAACTCTTGCATCAACTCAAACGGAAAAGTTCCGTACAGCTCTGATGCCTACAGAAATGCTATCTACTTTAGAAGATATGTTCATAAGAAGTACAATATGTTTTAATAGTGCGTTTATAAAGATTGATCAGTTTTTCTGCAGTCTTCAGTAAGAAGGTCGTGAGACTAATTAGCCTATAAGAAATTGGTTGGTCTAATTAAGGAAGAAACATGACATAAATTTCTTTCCAAGAGTGTGGCAAACACCCATAGCAAAGTAATTAAAATTAAAATTGGTTGCCGCACCAATTCGAAAATCTATTACCATCCATAAATATCCAACTGACCCCTTAGAAAAATGCGAAGTAGACAATATCAACTGCGGGTCCTGCAACAGAATATACATCGAGAAAACAAAAACACCCCTATTAGTAAGGCATGAAAGATATATAAAAGAAGCAAGAGAAGCACAGAAAAAATTAACCTAAAATGAAATATCGCCAGACAATAATAACCGAAAATCATCATATCGACAGAGATAATGTTCAGATAATTAAAAACATAAGGGATAGCTGGAAATTAGAAGCGCAGAGAGCATTGAAATACACAAGCATCCTGTATAAGATAAGATAAAGGCAACGTATCATCAAGATTTTTTAAATACATTTTAAAAACAAACCCAACCGAAGCAAGCCCGTGGGAGCTAGTACACAAAGCAACGTGTCTGATTGCATTTTACATGGAAAATGCCAGTTAAATTCTTGTCGTCGTTAATTCAAGTTGTAACAGCCTCCACGTAGCACTCTTGGAGAGTTACGTTGCACCCGCTGGATAATAATAGTGCGTACAGCGAGTCTTTTTCCTTTTCCCAAATTTGTGTTGAGCACAGACACAGAGAACATTTTTTCTCATGCGGCGACAGAAGAAAAGGACGATTTGACTAAAAATACCTTCTACCCGAGAATTGAGGAAATTTAAGACCACAGTCCCGTCCACGACGTTAAAATTGTTTTCGGGGATTTGAATGCAAAGGCTTGAAGAAAAGAAATTTTTGATTCAACTGTCGGAAAATTAAGCGTCCATGAATCAACCTCTAAAACCGGTCTGAGGCTAATTGATTTTGGTACAGCGCGAAACATGGTAGTATGGAGCAGAAGATTCCCACACCGTGATATTCATAAGGCAACCTAGCTATCTCTCTATCAACAAGAAACCAGATTGATCACTTCATCTTTGATGCAAGGCACGCTTCAAGAATGCTGTACGTAGGTTCATTCCGTAGCGCAAATATCGTAAGTACAACAAAAAACTACCAGTAGTTGTGTTGTCTTTTAGTCTATGTGTATGTATATATTACTTTTATGTGTATTTGTTGTGAAAGGATGTGCATATGTTTTTATATATACATTAAGACTGAAAAGTTTTCGGAAATTCTCATTTAAAATTCGCGCGCTGTATATTTTTCGATATTTTAAGTTTATGTAGTTTGGCAGCACTGTCATTAATTACTATGCCAAAAATGAGCGCGATCTGTCAGACAGTTCGTTTACGGCAGCTGTTGAAACCAGTTCACCTCAGTAGTGCGTTGCGAAATGTCTTCGACGGTCGTACGACCGTCCTGAAAGGCTTTGTACCACTCATAAACTTGAGTTTTCGATAAAACTGATTCCCCATAAGCCTTTTGTAGCATTCGCAACGATTCTGCACACGAAATTTCGTTCGAAACACAAAATTTGATGCAAACTCTTTGTTCAATATTTTTTTCCATTGTTTTTTTCGCAACGCACTACTGAGGTGAACTGGTTTCAACAGCTGCCGTAAACGAACTGTCTGACAGATCGCTCTCATTTTTTGCATAGTAATTGTCCTTAATTGCTGCCAAACTACATAAACTTAAAATATCGAAAAATATACAGCGCGCGAATTTTAAATGAGAATTTCCGAAAACTTTTCGGTCTTAATGTATGTTATATGTGTATATATATGATGTGAATGTAGTTAGAGACAATGTTAATGTGAAAGTGAGTGTGAAGTAAGTGTGAAGGTGTCAGAGTAAACTGTAAATCACACCAATCCTACATAACACGTGTCCATTGGATTGATGTTTGCAGACGGGGTTAACAGACTGTATTCTAGCGTGCATCTCACTTATACCTGCCTGTCTCAGTGAGTAACTATGGGCTTACCATGTTAGAAAGGGCTATGACACGGTGGACATACCTTACCCCCACAGTTGTGGGATGTTTATGGATAACATAAGATAATTAAATAAACTAGCAGGATCTCATACTACAACTCAACTATAGGTTATAAGAACGAAAGGAAGGCAAAGGATCCAAGAAAAAGAATCATGGTCCAGCGCCTTCAGCAACAACTGCAACTTCAGCAAAACAGAAGAAAGGTCACAAAGTTGTGGGCTCTAAGGTGCTTCGGCACCTAAGGAGATCAATACTGGACGAACATCCGGACTAGCTGTCTCTTTCTGTGATGCCAGGAAATCGACAGGTCTAAGAAGGCTTAACGCCTGAAGATGCAAAGACAAAAGCAGAAAAGACTCATAGCTGAGATAAGTCCAGCGGAAGGCAATACTGCCAAGAGGAGCAGGGCTGACACTAAGGTACAATCCAAACCTGTGCCTAGTACAGTAAAAACTACTGCACCCTCCTTTGTGCCCAGGGGGACAGTAGGTGATGGAGTCAGCTACGCAAACATTGCCAAGGGTATAAGACGATTCTTTCTACTCTGTCCACGGAAACCATTCTCATCCGGAAAGAGCAAGGAAAAGTGGAATACCTCCTAATGGAGGAAATGTACAAGGGCTTGAAGGCCAAACTCAAGTTTGAAGGCATCCACTTTCAAAAATGTCCTACGCTGGTAGACTGTACAAGCAAAGACGCGGCTGACTAGATCCGTGAAGTAATACTTCAGCTTAAAAATGTGGAAGGTACTCAGCTGACCACGTGCACCGGGGATAATATACCCGGCGTTCACCTTATGACAGCTTACCTCCCCAGGGCAGCAGGCGTCTAAAACGATAAACTGCTGAAGCTGATGGTATTACAGAATAAAGGACTCCACACACATCTGTGGAGAATATTCAGCAGCAAGAAGATGAAGAATGGGAAGCTGCTAACAATTAGGATCGACGACCGATCGCTAGAGGCTATTAGAGCGGCAACCTGTAGAATCGCCTACGGGTCAGCTCCATCCCTATTCACCTCCACAAGAACAGGACGGGTAAGGACACCATAGCTACCGAGCCTCACGAATCATCACCAATTCTCGGGTTGAAATATCGGAGGTGGTGGTTAGAAGCATTGAAGCAGAGGCTTTAAGGGGCGAATATGTTGAGGGTATTAGCATCCACAGAATTATACGGTTTGACATTGAAGGAGCACCCCGCATCAATAGAATAACTAGGAACCCTAGGAAAACAGACTATGAAAACACAAGACTAACCTAGAGGTTAACCTAAGTCAGTTAAATGTAGGAAAAAATATCCAGCACGAAATTTAACTGGAATCTATAGTTGAAAACTTCAGCAATGTCATTATTGATGCATATGAAAGTAGCTCAATAATAAAAATAAGCTCAATAAAATTAACCAAGGATGTATCTTGGAACAGTGAACTAACGGTATTGAGAACAGCGGCTTGAACGCTATTCAACCGATTTAAGCGCACTGGAAGCTGGACCGAGTATAGAATCACTCTCACTCTCTATAATAAGAAAATTAGGAGAGCAAAAAAAAATTTCAGAAAGCCCTATAACAGCATAAAACACACTACGAAAGCAACAAAACTCTGCAAAGTATTGGCCAGAGAGAAAACACTCTCCTCAACCAATCAAAAAAAGATGACAGTATTTACACGGTGTATGAGCAACATGCTTCAGACTAGGAAGCTAAAAATACGCACTAGTACGGGCCTAATAAAGATGAATACCACACTTGGATGTCCACAAGATGGGGTACTCTCACCACTCATGTGGAGCATACTGGTGGATGAACTATTCCACGAGCTAGGAAACAATCGACTAGTAGTACAAGGCAAGATTAAAGATAAGAATTGCTTTAAATAAATATAATAAATAATAATAATAAACAATAATAATAAATTTTATTAAATTTTCTTATATATTTTTTATTATTAATAATGCTTACAACCAATAAATCGAATAAAATTGCTTACACTAAAATAAATCAAGTAAAAATAAATAATATTATTTAATATGTTACTATACGTATATGAAACATTAATAAAACAATTAATTAGGGCTGAGTTCGTATATACTTTGTTACTATATATGAGTAATTAATAAAACAATTAATTAGGGCTGAGTTCGTATATACTTTGTTACTATATATGAGAAATTAATAAAACAATTAATTAGGGCTGAGTTCGTACATACTTTATTTTGTAATTTCCAATAAAACTAAAATAGGCCTTTTCGGTGGCTCGCAAGTACGGCAAAAAATGCATGTTGGCCTATGTTGGCCACGCGAGTCATTGGCATCACTGTTGCAATCTGTCAAATGTTTTGTTTTGACAAACAGCAAATCTTGTATATGTGCATATAAATCAAATATATTTTTATAAAAATATTATAAAATTAAAATGAACACGGAATTAAAAGGAATGGTATGAATATTGGAAATTTAAAAATAAAACATTAAGATAAGTAAATTTTTGTAGGTACTGTCGATCAAGATACGAAGAAATATTTCCAAACTCGACATTTATTATTGGAGATTCTGCTTATCCTTCTACAAACTGGATTGTGTCACCTTACAAAAATTATGGAAATTTAACCGATAGCCAAAAAAAATTTAATGAAAAACACTCATCTGCTCGTATTGTAGTTGAGAACGCTTTTGGTTCACTAAAAACTCGTTTTCGAAGATTATTAAAATTTACGGAGCAAACAAATTTGGCTGCAATAACAAATATAGTTGTAAGCGTTTGTATTTTACATAATATTTGTATTATAAAGGATGATTTGTTCAAGAATGCTGAATCAAATAGTCATAATGAAAGCAATGACGAACAGCAAGCGGATGAAGAACATGAATTACATAGATCATGGTAATAATAGAAGGGAAAGACTTTTTAATAATTTGTTAAGAAAAGTTTATTAATTAATATATTTATTGTAATTTTTTAAATAGAAAATTTTGTTACATTTATAGAAACTAACTTAACTTTGTGGTCCATAGTTTGCGTGTATTTTTATAAAAAATTTTTTTAGAAAAACTTCAAAAATTATGTTTGTTTTATTAATTTTACGTATGTAAGCTACAAATGAAATGAAATAAAATAAATGTTACTTTGTAATAACTAACATAATAAAAAATTCAATGTGCTTAATACTCACGATTTCTCCATTCTTATTATTTCTTCGTTACTTTTCAAGATTTTTCAAATTTTTGAATTCTGTTTGAATTTTTATTTCCTCAAATTTTGACATTTGATTGCACTATTCGTTGGAATTTTCAATGAAGGTTCACAATAGTTCACTTATTGCGTTGGTAACATTTTTTTTTTTACTGGCCGATGTGGTTGGCCAGCATAACTATGCTGGCCGAGGTGGAGAAAATAGTGTTGTTGTTTTGCGTACATTGCGGCCAGTATAAGCCTGCATAGGCCAACAACTTGCTGTTTTTTGCCGTACTTGCGAGCCACCGAATACGCCTAATAAATAAGTAAATAAAATAATAAAAATAAATACGATAAATATTTAAGAAAACACATTGCAAAAAAGAAATGAAACAAACTCTTGGGTTAATTAAATACATTCATTATAACTTGCTTCTCGATATTTACTATACGAAATCGCTTTTGGCAAAAGCCTTGCCAAAGTCTAGTCCATGTAAGACCAATTTTCCAAGTCACATAAACACCGACCCTAAGAAAAATGATAAAAAGCTAATGAGAACATTTTCGTTCTAGTGAATTTACATACATAAATCTAGATATATCGTTTAACATAACAGAATCAATATTCGTTAAAAATTATAATATAATGAATGATGTGTAAATAAAATCTCTAAAATGACTTTTATAGATTTTTTTTATAGTTTCAATGATAAATAAATAATAAAAATGATTTATTAAACAATGTGTATTGATGTTATTATTAAGTCGAAACGTGTTTCAATGCCGTTTAGTTCCTAACGAAGAAATTTTATTGACATATTTCGAAGCACCGTGTATAATTTTATAAACATGTATGTATGGCAATACCGTGAATAATTTTTTTTTGAGGCCGGTGTAACCGACATACGTGTCGGCAGAATATATATTTCGGACTTCATAAAAGATAAGTGCATAAACAGTGAAGTAAAGTAGGAATAATAAAATTATGCAAGTAAATCGACAATCCAAAATATTTAGCCGAAAAACGGCTGGTTACAGCAGTCTTATAACGTTTTCTGTTCTTCTGATTGCATGGATTGCTGGTTTTTCTTCACGTTTATTTGCAGTAATACGATTTGAATCTATAATACATGAATTCGATCCATGGTTTAACTATCGTGCCACAGCTTATATGGTACAACATGGGTTTTATAAGTTTCTAAATTGGTTCGATGAACGTGCATGGTATCCTTTGGGCCGTATAGTTGGAGGAACGGTATATCCCGGACTGATGATTACATCTGGAAGTATTCATTATGTTCTTCATGCTCTTAACATTCCAGTACACATTCGTGATATATGTGTTTTTCTTGCACCTATATTTAGTGGTTTAACATCTATATCTACATATTTACTTACAAAGGAATTATGGTCTCCTGGAGCTGGTTTATTTGCTGCAAGTTTCATTGCAATAGTGCCTGGATATATAAGTCGTTCAGTAGCTGGATCATACGATAATGAAGGAATTGCAATATTTGCTCTACAATTCACATATTTTCTATGGGTGCGGTCTGTAAAAACTGGATCTGTTTTTTGGTCTGCAGCTACGGCAATATCATATTTTTATATGGTTTCGGCATGGGGTGGTTATGTGTTTATTATTAATTTAATTCCACTGCATGTATTTGTCCTTCTTATTATGGGACGTTATTCTCCTCGACTTTTAACGTGTTACTGCACTTTTTACATTTTGGGTCTTCTGCTATCCATGCAAATACCATTCGTTGGATTTCAACCGATACGTACAAGTGAACATATGGCTGCATTAGGAGTATTTGTTTTACTTTTAGCAGTTGCATTCTTACGACACCTACAATCAGTTCTATCTAAAAACGAATTCAAGAAGCTATTTATATTTGGTGGCTTAATATCTGCTGGGCTAGTATTTTTAGTTGTAATAATGTTGACTATGCTAGGTGTAGTAGCTCCGTGGAGTGGCAGATTTTATTCTCTCTGGGATACAGGCTATGCAAAAATTCATATTCCAATTATAGCATCAGTATCAGAACATCAGCCAACAACATGGTTTTCATTCTTTTTCGATTTACATATTTTGGTGTGTACATTTCCTGTTGGTGTATGGTATTGTATAAAACGACTAAATGATGAGCGCGTCTTTGTTGTTCTTTACGCTGTGAGTGCTGTTTATTTTGCTGGTGTGATGGTCAGGTTAATGCTTACGTTAACACCTGTTGTCTGCATGCTTGCGGGAGTGGCGTTTTCTGGTTTATTAGAGGTATTTTTGCGAGAAGAAGTATCTGTTAAAACTTGTACAACTAGTTCAACAAATGGTGAAGAAAATGATGACAATCTTGGTGAGAAAAAAAGTCTATATGATAAGGTAATAAGATTTATTTTTTGTTGGTTTTTTGGTTGTAAAAGTTTAACATGTTTAACAATTTTTCAAGGCAGGAAAAATGAGACACCGTACAAAACATGAAACTTCAAGTGATAATTCGAATGGTATTGGATCCAACTTGAAGAGTATTGTAATTTTAGCAATTTTAATGATTTTAATGATGTTTGCTGTCCATTGTACTTGGGTAACTAGTAACGCTTATTCAAGTCCCTCTATTGTTCTTGCATTCCATAACAGTCAAGATGGGTAAGTAACAGTGAAATACATTGGTACTACATGTTTTCCATATTAATTCTTTTACGGTTTAAGGTGTAAGAACATATAAGGTATTATATGTTCTTAATATGTAAACGGTTTCAATTAATATGCAATTTTTTATAAATTTATATTTACATGCTATATTTATTATTTAATAAAAATTTATTTTCTTTTGAAGATCACGAAATATTTTGGATGATTTCCGTGAGGCCTACTATTGGTTGTCACAGAACACTGCCGATGATTCTCGAATAATGTCATGGTGGGATTATGGTTACCAAATAGCTGGAATGGCCAATAGAACAACTCTAGTAGACAATAATACTTGGAATAATAGCCACATAGCATTAGTAGGGAAAGCTATGTCTTCAACGGAAGAGAAATCTTACGAAATTATGACTTCTTTAGATGTAGACTATGTTCTAGTTATATTTGGTGGTGTTATTGGCTATTCAGGTGACGATATCAACAAATTTTTGTGGATGGTGCGTATTGCCGAAGGTGAACATCCAAAAGATGTCAAGGAAAGCGATTATTTTACTGACCGAGGAGAATTTAGAGTTGATTCAGAAGGATCCCCAGCTTTATTAAATTGTTTAATGTATAAATTAAGTTATTATCGTTTTGGTGATCTTAAACTTGATTACCGGTAAGTAAATATTTACAATTGAAAATTTATATTTATATATATAATTTATAATATAGAGGACCTGGCGGTTATGATCGAACTCGAAATGCTGTTATAGGAAATAAAGACTTTGATCTTACATATCTGGAAGAAGCGTACACTACTGAACATTGGTTAGTTCGTATTTACCGTGTCAAGAAACCACACGAATTTAATCGTCCTTCATTAAAACTGGATAAACGAGTTTCTACTCCAACAAATTATGTTTCTCGAAAGGTACATGCGATTTTTTTATTTTTTTGTATTCGGATTATAATAAATTTATGTATTTTAGAATGTAAAGCGACGCAAGGGTTACATAAAAAATAGACCAGCAGTAATAAAAGGAAAGCGTACGCGAGTTTAAAAAACGAACAATTTTACGGTTGCAATATCTGACTGACATATGTTCAAAAATTTTTATATCAGCAATCATTAAAAGTTATTAAGTATAATAATAGCATGGTCATAGTTCTTGGCTTTATCAGTTAATATATATAGTTGACATTAAAAACTTCAATAATAGGCTATCTTGGTAATTAATTGCTGGATTATTTATCAAGCAACTGTATGCAACTAATTCCTTATGTTTGCAAGTGTATAATACCTGAAAACACTTTTAGTTTAATATAAAGACAATATAGTGTACTAAGAATAGTTTTATTGTACGAAATAAAAGTTATTGTAACCTGTCATGACTTAAGAGTTCAGGCAAAAGTACAAATAAGTTATTTTATTAGTAGGGATGAAAGTTTGGAGTTGAGCCAGAGTAAATTTAGTTTACCATCATCGTGGTGGAGAAAAGACAGAAGTGATTCAATTTTAGCATAGTGGATCACCCTTTCCGAAGTTTTATGTTTTGCAGTATCTTAAATTCAGGAATAGATATTCAAAGGTAAATCTTTAGTTCAAAAATATTTCATGATGAAAGAAATAAACCTTTCACCTCTGAAGATTTTAATGGTAAGCCTGTTGAAAACCTTGTGTCACAACCGTGGTCTTGAAGACGGTGCTCTCTCATTATTAAGAGGTGAAAGCCCTTGTCTACCTATACTCGATCTCACCTATGTTTTCGCTTTGGTAAAAGTTGGTTAAGCATGTTAACCAACTTTGGCGCAATCTTGTCAAAACTTTACTACGCAGTTATTGAACGGTTGCCATCGCATGTTCACCATCTTGATGTAGATCCTGAAATGCTTTTAATAATAACACATAATCAGCGATCGTTTTAACAATTTTTTATTTTATTATATCGTAACAAAGTAATGATATAAGCTCATTCTAAACATTTACTTGCCACTCTACTTTTAATCACAACGACCATCTGTCTTCATGTGCTAATGCTTAATGCCTTCGACTTGTTCAGGTAGCTTACTTTATAGGTTAGTAGTGCTAGATTACTTTATTTCGGCCCCGGTAGAAGCCGTGGGCAGCTGTAAAATGTATCACAAATTAATACCATTTCAGTAATGGTTTGCAAAAGAGGGCGGTGGGCCCTTTTATATTACTATGTTTCAGCAGGGTAATATCAATAAATCAGCGTGTAATGCTTGACCTACATTATCGGTATACATTGCTTTTATAGTAGATCGAAACAGAGGAAAATAGGCTCGAAATTTTTTGAACATTAATAAAGAAATATCGGCCACATAATTCCAATACCGTAGACTTCTTACGAAAAGAGATGATTACAATACTAATAATGATGATCCTAAGGCGATGATTATGTACAAGACTGTAGATGTACTTTTTAGCGTGGATTAAAATCAATGTTTTCATTAGCTAAAACTTGGTGAGGTTTTCACGATCGATATCGAATATGTATTGTTTTCGATATCGAATTGAATTTTATCGGTGAATAAAAGTTTATGTACCAGTAAAAATCTGAGGGTATATGTACAAATCGTCAAACTCTAGCGGGTGCAGAAACGAGATTATCTCTCGGTTTGCCACGCTCTTAAGCAAAGGATACCGAATCCATAGCTGTTTAAAGTAATTTCTTGCCGTGAAGGCTTCTCACCAAGGTGCTTTTAACTTACATATTGGTATTATGCGCCAATAAATGCTCCAATTGGAATTCCAAGAAATTTAGCGGTAACACGGTTATATAACACCTGTGCTACTTTTTGAGTCATGACACCCGGTTGAAGAATGCAACTCCACATCGAATAAAAGTATACAAATAAAATTATTCTCCTCGCATGACTTTGAGTTTCGCCACAGCCCTCATGATACTTCCAACATCTATTGACCAAGATAGCCAGAGTTGTATGCCGTGATACGGGGTTTACACCTCCAATCGGTTGCCCCAAGTAAAACTCAGTCACTACTATTGATACTCCCAAAACAGTATCTTATAGTGTCTACTGGATTTTAGTCGTCTTTTGTGAGAGACATATCGTACCTCGGCAATGTTTTAACCCCTTTCCTACAGGGGTCGACAAACGATACAGTGGCTTTAAGTAAAGTAGGCATAATTACATTTGTTTTGCCTGAAGATTTTTCTGTTGCAAGTAAAGCAATAAAATAGTTAAGTTGTCAAAATCATACTCAGAATTTTTGAGGAATAGATCCCAGTTTAAACAAGAATACCTCGTGTTTACATAACTGGTTACTATACAGGTATGAAATTTACAAAAAGCCACTGATGCAAAGGAGTTTACAGCATTATCAAAAGAAGGTATAACCGTGCAAAGTCGTTGGATAATCGTGAACATAATGTGTGACGAAGTATTTCAAACTAAAGATTCACGAACGTGACACTAAACCAAAGAATATTTTCTTAATCAAAATTAATAAAATTTATTGATAACAAACGGATTTTATATAGAAATGGGGATGAAGGGGAAGGATTCAACTCTTTTCGAGATTATTAAGGACAGTGCATGTCTTTGGTAGGCTTGGTATTTTGATAAGCTTGTTGATGTGTTACAAAATAAGATCCAATGCCCGAACGATAATAATAATTACAGTTAAAGCCATCAAATTACCAATTTTTTTTAAGATTTGTGTACCTCACCAGATACCTTTGGTATCTGTTCAGTATCAAGTCAACATTTTGTATTTCATTTTGACTTTTAGAGCTAGTACAATGGTCATTTCCAGCTCCCACAAAAAGTTCATTAATGAAGAGATGAATGTTCCGGATGAGATTCAACAGAATATCACATCAAAACCTAAGGTTAGGTACATACATGTTCCAGTTATTTGTCAGGATACATAAATTGAAGGATTCATAAACAAGCAACGGACAGTATCATATTTATTGGAACGGCTAATTAATGGTGACAAACGCACAAAGGAGCAATAACCTCTGTCTATTATTACGTTTTTATTGACACAGTTAATAAATTGTAGCATTCTACAAATACTTTTCTTCGAAAAGTATGATTTATAGAACTATATTGAACTAAAAATTTAATTAATGGAAGTGTCAATCGGGGAAAAAGCACTGGTCATATTATCGAATAACACAATTCCGATGCTTGACGGAATAACTATTCGTTAATCGGAATAATCCACAATACTCAGTTGCCAGATACACAGAAGATCTAATACTTAAATAACAATTTAATTAAGGATGCAGCAAAATTAGTAGCATATTTGTCTCTAACTTATCAAAACTATGGCAGAAAATAGCAGATATTAAAAAAGCTTACCAAGAAAACTTATCGTCTCCTCTATTATCCAGCAGTTTATGAGTTAATGGCCGTGAAGAGTCCAATTGTATTATTTGGACATGACATGCCTACGTGCGTTGCAATCCATAGATGTCTTTTTATTGTATTTTGGAGAAACAGTTTAAATCATTGAAAAGGTGCAATCTTAATTCATTAGCAATAAGTGACAGCACCTGGAACTACAAACAACTCAAAAGCTTTATGTCAGTTCCTATCCATATTTGCATATAGATCTGTATATTTTGCAATCTTGTGTTGCTCCTGACCTAGGCTGTTCAGTTTGAAATATTTAACGATCTTACAACTAATACAATTCTGTTTCTGTACAGACAAAGTCATTATGTTCCATTTTATTCCGTTACGCGAACCAGATTTTAGCGGTTTTTGGGATGCAGCTGTCAAATTGACCAAACATCACCTCAAACGAACGTTGGATACAATGCAACTCACCTATAAAGAACTGGAAATAGTCATTGCTCAAGTGAAAGCAATTTCAAGTCCGGACCAGTAATGCCACAGTCATTGACAGGCTAACGATTGACAGTAGTGCCATCACGATAGAAGACAGTGCAGTGCTTTTATCGCATCATGATTATCATAACGAAGATAACTTCTCTTCTCTTAACATATATGGTACGATCAAGTGGTAGATATCAAAACCAAGAGCAGTGTCTGGGAATGATCAATACATCGTGTGGCTATACTGCTAGGTGACGATTGGTCAATACCCACTCCACAAACAGTATTACAAGCCGAAGAAATGCCAAGAAAACGAGCTAAACTTAGCAGCAATTTCTTAGGTATAGCGTTACTTATTATGTTATGGCTGCCTTTATTATTAAGGTATCGAATAATGGTCCAATCTTTCAATAACAAACGAGGCATTCATTTTAAACACAGAGGTTCAATTATGAGAATGGTCAGAATGGACATTTACTTCAAATTATAATTTAAATTCAGTCCAACAATAATCGAACTTTAATAATAACGCAACTGATAATTTAAAAATTCGATATGACCAGATAAATATCACAATAACTGCTGGATATTATTTGAAAATTTGAAAACAATAAGCATTGGATGATATCAACTAGCATGTGATTCGCTAAGAAAAGAAAGAAAAGATGGACGATCGATATAGTAGGTAATGAAGCTAATGCAGTGTTTAGCGTCCAGAAGTTAGAGTTTGCAAGACCCATTCAAAAAACCAATGAACCGTTCCAGAAGACTGCAACAACAAAATTTGAGTTAAAATTTTTTTTCTGTTCAATGTATTAAGCAATTTTTTCGTTAGTTATATTAATGTATTAATTATTTATTTGATATTAATTTGTATTTATTTTTCCATAAAACATTTCATTTATTTTTTGTACCTACCTATATAGTTTATGTCTAATACGTTTATTTTGCACATTAAACAAAATTACCCCATGTTTTTCATAATGGAAATAAAAATATTAACACATCCAAATTCTAGCAACGTTCTAGACGTAATATTATCACGATTTTGATATAGATTTGAATCGTGTTATATTATTTGGACCATGCCAATAAATGTAAAATAAAACATCAGTCATTTGATGAGAAAATTTACAATTCCATGGCAAAACTTACAATATTGGATATTGGATGAAATTTTTGATGATATGTCGGCAGAAAGCATTCAAAAACTCGAACATAACTTAATGGATGTTTATTTTCAAAGTGTCGAGTGTTGAGGGTCGTCTATATAAACACGATTCTTTACGTAGCTTCACTAAAAAAATTAGGTGGTGACAAGTCGCATGGTGTTGGAGACCTATTTATATCCCCCAACATGTCAAGTAACATAGTGAAAATAGAACTTGTGTGGTTTCTTTCTCTTGATGGAACAACATATAGTCCAAGTCCACGTCTTCATTTCCACGCCAAAAATTTATAGTCATGTGGTTGTGATTACCAATTCCTGAAACTTATACCATTTTTTATCAAAGAGCAACTTCTATAAATTATCAAGTTTCCATAGATTATGTAAAGCTTTTAAAAATCTACGTGTTTAAATTGATAATCATTGTTTGTTAAAATTCTAACTACAAAGTTTAGTTATCTTAGGTTTGAATAAAATTATTGGCACTTAGTTGCAACGCATAGACCTTCGGATTTAAATCATGCCCATTACCGCATGATTTAAGCATAAAATATTATAAATAATTTCTAAACTGGCTTAATCTCTATGATTATAATAATTAAATGCAGTTTATATATGCTATAAAAATTTACAACTATATTTATTCAGTCTTTTAAAAACATTACATATATTTCTGTATTTTTACAAATAGATAAATAAGTTATTTGAAAATGTTGAATTTGAATTTGTGATGAATAATTAGAAATATCTTGTCGATTATTTGACCACCGATTTTAATAAAAATTTTATGATTTACTTATGGAACGCTTTGTAAATACTAAGGAAAATGATTTTGTAGGAACAGCAACACATGCTGGAGTGATTTTTATTGATGATAAATCACTGCTACTCACATTATAGTTTAGCAATATATTAGATAATAAAATAAAACCAAAACCACGGACTAGGTTTTTACCAACACACGTTCGCTTTCCAATGCTGAAGGGTAAAAATTGTGGAATATTCATTTTGACTTTAATTTGATTTACGTGAGGGTCTTTATTACATACTTTACAAGTATATAACTGGGAAGTGCACATGTTTTTAGTTTTGGATTCTTTGTCATTTTCAACACCCGAATCCGATGATTCGGAGTTACGTCTTTCATTATTTCCAGTAACTAGTTTTGTTGACTGTGGTAACTTTTCTAAAAACCTTTCTGGATAGAAAAAATTTGGGTTCTTCCAATAATTGGTATTTGTATTTAAATTATAATTATTTATGAAAACAATTGTACCAGCAGTTACGCCATATCCAGATATAACACAGTCTTCAGTGGCGACATGTGGTACAATTGGTGATGAAGAATAGCGTAATACTTCAAATATCGTTGCTAAGGTGTATGGCATATTATCTATGTCAAGTAAACTTATTGTACGATTTCCTTTAAGGGATACGTGATCAGCTTCAGCTTGAATTTTTGCTCCTACATGAGGATACATCACAATATATGCCAGAGCTAGCATAACTAAATTGCCAACCGCCGAATGTCCACCAATAAAATCTTCCAACATATATATTATGGTATCACGTGACACATATTTATCTTCAGCTAAACTTTTCAACAAAGCATCTGTAAAATCATTTTCTGGTTCATCAGTATCTAAATTTTGTTCTCTATTATTTATGATGCGCTTTAAAATAAATGTACGTATTGTAGAAGACCAAGCCATTATTTTATTAAAATGCATTTTATAAAACGGAGCCAGCCAGGGTAAAAAGTCAACAGCATAACCTTGATTTATTTCCCAAAATATTTCATCGAAATATTCAACTATTTTTTGAAATTCCTTATCTTCATAATCGAATCGCAACGAACACATATAGTTGGTGAACATATTAGCACAAGTTTGTTGAATTAGCGGTTTTATTTCGAATGCCTCTTCTTGTATTAGAACTTCATCAAGTTTTCTAATGAATTCAGCAGTTTCTAAACACCCAATCTCAGACATTTTAGTGAAATATGATGATGAATCCCGTGGTGAACAATATCGTCTTGCAAGATTACGTCTTTTTTGCTGAAGATGTGACCAGTCGCACAGTGCAAGTGCTGAAATAAAAATCAAGAAATAATTGCTTATGAAACTAAAGAATTTAGATGATATTATTTACGAAATATAAAAACTATATAATATCATATAATCATGTATAATATGGAATTTCTGTCACCAGAACAGATTAAGAAATCTTTTCTAGATTTAGTTCTGGACTTTGTTCACAAAGCTTTAAGTGGTTTTGTGTAATCAATAGTAAAATTGGTACAATAGGACTCTTCTGGCCGCAGTACCAGCTGTTGGGCAATTTCACGTTTACGCTTGTAATAATTTATCTTCTATACACATTAAATGAACTTAATACATAATTTATATGTAGAATTTTTTTTATTATAATACATATTTGAACTATTTACTTTACTTCGAGATAATAACGAAATGTAATTACAATTTTAAAAAATAATATGAACACTAAAACACAATATAAATTAAAAGATAAAGTCAAATAAATAGTTATACTGCATTAAAATATTATTATAAAATTTAAAAAAAAATTAAACTTTTAAATATTATACTTACAGTGGTTTCTATCCCCTCCAAACAATTTATGATATCGTAAAAAATTAGGCCTTCCACCAAAAAACTTTCCATTCTGATTTAAAACTTCTCGTATTAAATCCAAATTATTGACAATTAAACAACGCGAAGCGCCTAAACTCAATGAGTACACGTCTCCATATTTCTTTGCAAGATCAGTAAAACACTGAAAAGGAACTTTGTATTTCCTTAGTATATAAAGACTGCCAATAACTGGTAAAGGAATTGGCCCTGGCGCTTGTGAATAATGTTTAACTGTTTTCCTCTGGTGTTGCAAACGTGAGTTAACTACAATTGAAGCACTTCGTAGATATTTGTAAAGAACTCTTACAAATTCTACAACCCAAAGAATTACGATGGTTAAATATAAACTTGTGCATACCGAAAGCATTTTTCAATTAGTTAAAATTTTTATCTATATAAAAATATATTCTTCTCTTATCTTTCTGTATAGTTTTATTAATTAAGCTGATTCAATCTGATTCAAACTACCACCATATTTCTTCTTTATCAAAAATTCTAACTGAATATTTTAAACTCTCTGCTTTACCTTTTATAGGTAAAAAAAGGCTCAGAAATCCTATTCACATATCTACAGTTTTTTCCCTAATAACGTTAACAAGAAGCATAAAATTCTTGTCGTTTTTACTCAGTTTTCATGTACACTCATAGAAGCCATACTTAGAATATAGCGTGAGCTCTCAGTAAGAGCGATTCGTTTAAATCACTCACTTTTTCATATAGTTTCTTGAAATTCAAATGAATAGGAAAACTTTCTCTTGAGTCTCACCAATGGAATTGAGTGGTGCATATCTACAATACGTAAAATCTTATTTTTATCAAATACATAACTAATACATGTACACATGTATTACAAATACATACATAAGTATAAGTACTTCTTAGTGAATGAAAATAAGCAAACATAACGGGTATATGTACATAACGTACTCTGTACTGTGTGCTGTGTACTGTGTACAATTCCTAGTATCTTATATTTTACGATCTAAGACCTTTTGCGATATCTTAATATCCTAAACAATGTTTGTTTTATAAAAAATAAGAAAAGCCTGTTATTTCTTCCCATTCGGATTACAAGTGTGTTTGTAGTAGTAGTTGTGAAATGTTTAATTGCACACAGTAAGACTAACTTAAAGAATTAAAGTATTTCTCATTGTACTGCAATGTTATCAGAGTTAGGAGCCACGAACTCGGAATACTTGCTTACATTGTCTTTGTATTTATGTACATATATTTATGTAAGTATGTATGAAATTTGTTAATAAACATATTTAGCTTGTATATACTGAAAAATGTGTAGAAATCAACCTATCCGATGTAGATCCATATTTTATGTGCAATACTTGTTCGTTGCATGAATTCATATACACTTAAAATATTTTATATTAATCAATCTTGCAGTAAATAAATTGCAAATTTCGCATTTTTGTACATTGCAGTAGTTGCTATTCGATAAAACTTTTGACTTCAGTTATTAATAACTTATTTTGAAAATACGTACATAAATACACGGGTGTCTTATATATAACATTAAAAGTTTTACTTAATTAACCATTACAATAAAATCCTCATTCAAATTAATAGCTGCCATGACTGCTGCACTACTGCTACTGTGGTTATACGTAACTCCAGTGGTTGCGAATAGCAACTACTATATAACAATAAAATCTTTTTATTGACGTATAAAGAAATTTATTTAAAAACTATTTATTATATGAGGAGGGCGGCATCAATAACAAAGGATCTTAGACCAATTTCAACTAAAAGGTAAGAAACAATAATAAAATTTTATTTACAGTTTATTCTATACATATTTACATTTTGTCGAATTTTTTTATATGTATAGCGTCCAACCCCCGCAATAGAAAAGTTATACTTGATAGTCTGCCTGATATATTATTTGCTGACTTATTATTTTTTGACTATATTTTTTTCATACGTTTTAAATTTTTTTTAAACTGAGGTTCTTATGCCAGAGCTGATTTTTTTGTTTTGTTTGTTGAGTTTTTTTGCATTAAATTCTGGAGTTAAAAAAATTATTAAATGCCCGATATATGACGTCTCAATTTTTATAGACTAAAGTTGGGCGGTAAAGCAATTGTTTACTTACTTTACTTACATAAACGATATATACCATTGTAGAAAATTAAGCTTCTTTCAGTTTTTATTCTTTACTATTTTCCATCATTATCATCCTTACTGTGATAAATGAGCTGAAATAAGAAAGCAAAATTCAACAAATCTTAAACATTTCATAACTATGATGTATTGGAATAGAAATACATATGTATGCATATACACATTCATATGTCATTTTACATTTTAAACTTTCAAAATATTTGATAAATACCTATATTTGGTATAAATAATATCGATAGCATCAATCTCGTTATTCCTTGTGATAAATAAGATATCGAACTAAGATTCATCATAAATTTCTCATAAAAGCTCAGGAAGGAGCAATCGCTTTTAGATATTTGAACAATCAATTGATATTTGATCAGTAAATAAATCTTTGCTGTTTAAATCCAATGAGGTTATGGTTTAACATTTTATGAGCAATTTTTATTTTGAAGAATATGATTTAGGTATGTTGAGACTGCCCAGACAGGAACAGTAGTCATCAAAAATTGCTCTCTTGCTCATGAGCAATATGAATGTTTATTATCTTCTGTGTTGTCTAACCTTTTTTCCAGACAGACTAAATTGAAAGAAGTTTCACAAACTAAAGTAACACTTAATTAATCATGCTCTTCTTATGATATTCTTGTTAATTTTCGCAACCACACCATGAAGTGGAGTTTTGATGTAGCATTGAACTCAGATCACATCTAAAATTTCAAAAAATATTTTAAATCTTTTCGATAGGTTGTCTAAATATGACATTTCAGCTCTACCCTATAATAAAATGACAGATAATTAAAATGCAAAAAAAACCGGACTAAAATATTTTTCTAAATAGATATTTGAGAAAAAAGAATGGTATGTTCTGAATTTTAAATATCTTGATTTGTTATTTAGTTGATAGCACACGGCGGTCCAGGAGTGTTTTAGGATGATTTATATGCAGCCTTGAATATTTATGATTACAATCTACACAATTAGTTAAAATTTTTATACCTTATGAATACTTTATTCGAAAAAAGAAGAGAGTTAGGATGCCAGCAACGTAACTGGTAGGTCGATTAAGAAAAATGTAGGTGACGTTACCGATTTCGCCGCGTTAGTCGACTAAGAAAGATGTACCTATGCAATGTTAACGACTTAAGTATTCGGTTAACTATGAAAAATGTATGCAACGTTACCACCTTGATTACGTTGATTCACTACGAAATATTTCTGTAACTGCCAATTTTACCTTGAGGTGAAGGCTAAGCTAGCAAGTGTTCTTAATTTTTCAATTTTATACCGTTTTTAGAAGTTAGAAGAACGATAGAAGTTAGCTTTTATTGTTTGTAAACAAGTAAATAAATATAAAAACAATATTGTATATGGTTGTGACGAAGCATTTATTACAGTCGTTGCGAAATAATTCAGTATTGTGAATTGATATTTTTCTTGATCCAGTATTTACATAAATAACGGCCTGACGCAGATCGCAATACACGTATATATACAAAAAAACGATTATTATTATTGCGGTAATGCGAGAGAAGCGGATCGTTGAAAAAAAACCTATGATATGGATGTCGACTAAAAAACCTTTACCAACCAAACTGACTCCGGTTTTCGTTTTCTAAGACTTTTTCGACCATGTTTTTGATAAACCTTCTGATCAAAAAAGAACGAGAGGCATATTTTTGAATTCCCGCGCTTATCCAATCGATACTTTTTTTTTATTTTCACGCTGGCAACACTATTATACACATTCTGTCAAAGTTTAATGCATATCGTTCGATTAGTTTTTGTTTGGCGTCTATACAAAAAGTTGAAAAATTTTCGTGTGGCGATTTTTATAATGGATTAAAATATAGAACAACGTGCGAAACTGTTAAAAAAGGCCTTTGGTGATTTGTGTGTGTCGCAACCACGAGTATACGAATGGTTTAAAAGGTTCAAAGACGGTCGTACAAGCTTGGACCATGATGAGATCCTTGGCCGCCCAACAACTTTTGTTATTGAAGAAAACGTTGTGAACGGATTAGAAAGATTGCAGTGTTGTTGGGTATCTCATATGGATCGGTCGAACACATTTTAACTGATGTTTTGGTTTCAACGCGTCGCTTCTAGGCTGGTGGTAAAAAAGCTGAATTTCATTCAAAAAAGCCGCAGTTTTTGGCCAAAAACTCCACCAATATCATAAACCAAGCACCGTACTCTTCAGATATAGCCCCGTGTGACTTTTCTCTTCCCCCGACTCAAATTGCCATTGCGAGGAACGTGTTTTAAAACCATAGGGGCCATAAGGTTTTCGACATCTTTGTATAGACGCCAAACAAAAACTAATCGTTCGATATACATTAAACTTTGACAGAATGTGAATAATAGTGTCGCCAGCCTGAAAATGAAAAAAATTTACAAATTAAATGAATTCAAAAATTACAAATTAAAGTTGTTTTTTAATCACAAGGTAAATTCCAGTATGTTTATCTTTTAATTCCATCATTCCCAACGTAAACATATATATATTTTACCGTCTAGTACCAACTGTGCATTGATTTCTAAAACTGATTTATTTAGTCGATTAGCTATGTCAACTTTCAAAGTAATCATTTTTTTATCTAAAACTATACGTATTTTAGTTATAATTTTAGAAGTAGTCTCACGTATTAACAATTTAATATTTTTGGCATTAACTGAAAAATTACTGCCTATAGCAGACACTATTGGGTCCATTATTCGCTTAAATCGTGAATACTCCAACATTTCAAAGGAACACCCATTGATGGTAATAAGTTGTAGTCAATTTAAAGTATTTTTCATAAAAGTAAATAAATAAAAAACCAACAACTGAAGAAATATATGCACAGACACCAAACTATATGGTGCTGAACCGAAATAAACCGAATATTTTTTTTCGGTTCGGTTCCGGTTTTCGTTCCAGCAAAAATATCGATTTTTTCGGTTTTCGTTTCGGTTCCGGTTCGATGCCCTGGTTTTATATTCTTTTAAAGGTTATGTATTTCACCATACGGTTCCTACTTCTCTATTTCTGCTTCTGCACTCTTCTTCTGCAGTCAAAACAATGCCTACATCTCCAATATATTCCAAATTTAGAATCTCTGACTAGATACACAGAAGCAAATCAGATATCAGACAGTTAATAACTGTCTTTACATGGCACTGGATCATAGGACGGCACGGATCTAGGCTCTACCCTGCAGTATCTCCTGCAACGCTTGTCTACCGACTCTCGAAAATAGAATACCAGAACACTTGCTGTGTTTATGTCCAGGATTAACCAAAACTATGCAAAAGTTTTTGGGGGCCTCTTCTTTATTGCACTCAGCGATATCTTCAGTATTAGCATTGGCCAGACTTTCGTCTTTATAAATGCTT